GTGCGGGTCAGGCGGGTGGCAAACCGGAGTGGCTGAAGCTGCGTGTGGACGCTGCCTTTGGCTATAAGAGCAATATATTCCTCATTAACCGATTGTACGAGGGCAGTGCCCGGAGCATCAGCATCAATCCGCAGGCGGCGCAGATGATAGTGCGCAACTGTCTGGACCTGCTGTTCGTGCTGGCCAAGCACTATCCGTCCAGCTTTGTGCCCTATAATCGCGAGGTGAAGGCCAGGCGAATATTGAGTGCGGTATTCGGCATGCCATCGCCCACGCCCGGATCAGGAGGAGGCGGAGGATCTGGATCTGCAGCGAGTGGCGGTTTGACAGGTTACGATGAAGTACCACCTGGTGGAACTCTAGACTTCCGCTCACGATTCTGTCGCTATCAGGTGGCCAATCGGCTACGTGGCATACTCGACGATCATCCTGGACCGAAACCCGCAGCGCCCTTGGATGAGGCACCCTCCACATCGAAGGCGGCGGCAGCAAAGGCAGCTGCCACGGCCAAAGTGTCCACTGGGAGCCAGAATCAGCACTCGGTGCCGTACCAAACCAATGCCAAGAACTTCTGGGATGTTGTACTGAACATCGATCGACAGACACAAGTGCGATTGGCCAATGTGGCCCAGTTTCCGCTCACCTCGCAGCCGGCGTGGGAATGGCAGGCGAATACCGCGGACTTCCTCTCGTTCAGCGACTCACCCTTCGGCCAGTTGTTGGAAATGCTTCCCTACAAGGTTATATGCCGATCGCCCCATCTTACCGATATGCTGGTCAAGCTGCTCGCCTCGCTCAGCACAGAGTTGCCCAAGGAGGAGGAGCAGTTGCCACTCAGCGATCAAATGCCCACACTGATACCCATTGGTCAGGTGGCGGGAGCGACGGCTGCGGCAACAGCCGAGAATACTCAGCCTACAGCAACCGAAATTGGTGACGGTCTGGCCGCCAACATTGAGGAGCAGGCTGCTCCGGCCAGCGGTAATCCTGCCTCCGGTGATAGCAATGCGGGAGCGAAGCGCACCCAGCTGCCAACTTTAAGTGTGGCCCTGCCGGTGGCGCCATCGAAACCGCGTCGCAAGATCTACTCGAAGAACTTTTCGCAGCTCCAGCTGGTCATTGAGGTGTTGACCCACCAGTGCGGCACCACCGAGGGACTGGACAACGTAGCCAAGCTGATTGTGAATCTGACGCAGTGCTCGCAGGCATCTAATGCCATTTTCATCCAGTACTTGACCGCTGCGATATTGGGATTGGCCGAGGAGGTGCGTCAAGCGATACAGATGCTGCTCAACGAGATTCGCATGTACAACATTCACCACACAACATTGACCAGCACCACCTCACAGGCTGCCTCCACTTCCGGGGCAGCTGCAGCAACAACTGGTTACGTACCCACAGTGTCGGGAGCCAGCCTCTTGCCAAACTTGGCCGTGCACGAGGGCATAATGCAAGACCGCTTCACCGCAGAGCACGTGATCATCTCGGCGCCAAAGAATGCCAAGCCCACCTGCGAATTGCAACTGCCGTCGATGAAGAAACTTATGTCGAACTCGTCCGCTCAGCCGTACTTCCTGCGAACCCTGAAGATCTTCATGCAGGTACGCGATATGTATGAGGCGCAGAATGGTTTGTCCACTGGCGGTGGAGTCGCTGGTGCTACCGGCGACAACGACGACGATATCATCGACATTGAGGGTGATGGGGGTGCGTCCGGCGGCAGTAGTTCGGATATGGCTCCCGGATCTGCCAGCACAATATCTCCGCCGCCGCCCATGGAAACCAATCAGGCCGCACAAGATGGTGATGACGACGAGGAGGACGACGATGAGGCAAGCGCTTCTCCGGGAGTTGGCAATCATGCAGCGGCAAGCGCTAGCAAGTCGACCAAGCCCACTCTTAGTCAGATCCTCTGCCTGGACGTGCTTTGGCACACGCTCAGCGAGTGCCTGGTAGCGTTAGAGGAGTCCAAGGACGAGTTCGCCGTCCTGGTGCTGCAGCCAACCGTGGAGGCCTTCTTCCTCATCCACGCCTCGCATCGCGGTGCGGCCAAGAAGTCGGGTCGCGGCTCTATGCCTGGACCTGTGGGCTCTGGACTGCGCGCAGCGGCCGGCAGTGGAATCGGCGGACTAGGAGCACCCGCATCGTCTGCCCAGGAGTACAGTCCCTCGATGGACGATGCCAGCAGCGCCAACACCCTTAGTTCGGCTAGTTTCGATGGTGAGTTTAAGAATATGCAAAACATTCTTCATATATTCAATCTGCTACATTTATAATAACCAGATGAGCCGCGAATGCAGGATGCATCCACAAATACGCCTCTTTCGGCCAACGCCTCCGGCAGCACAGCGCTGAGCGCACACGAGGCGCAGCTGAGGCAGGACCGTCAAAAATTCCTACAATTCGCTGAGAAGCACCGCACTGTGCTTAACCAGATACTACGCCAATCTCCGACTCACCTCTCTGACGGGCCATTTGCCGTTCTTGTGGACCACACGCGTATCCTGGACTTTGATGTCAAGCGCAAGTACTTCCAGACGGAGCTGGAGCGGCTGGACGAGGGCATCCGGCGTGAGGAGCACACGGTCAGTGTGCGTCGCGTAACCGTTTTTGAGGACTCGTTCCGTGTCCTTTACCGCCTGGGACCGGAGGAGTGGAAGAACCGCTTCTACATCGTTTTTGAGGGTATGTTTTGGACCAATAGAAACAAATTACGAGTGATTTTCATATTTTTAAACTTCCTTGCAGATGAGGAAGGCCAGGACGCTGGCGGCCTGTTGCGCGAGTGGTATGTGATCATTTCGCGCGAGATATTTAATCCGATGTATGCCTTGTTCTGCGTATCGCCGGGCGATCGCGTCACCTACATGATAAATCCCTCCAGCCATGCTAACCCCAATCACTTGAGCTACTTCAAGTTTGTCGGCCGCGTAATTGGTAAGTCGTTTTTTTTTTTATTTTTTAGATACTACCCCTAAATGAACCCTTTTATAACCCTTTTGATGTTCTTCAACAGCCAAGGCCGTGCACGACAACAAGTTGCTGGAGTGCTACTTCACTCGATCATTTTACAAGCACATCCTGGGCAAGCAGGTGAAGCACACGGACATGGAGTCGCAGGACTACGAGTTCTACAAGGGCCTCGACTATCTCATGAAGAACGACATCTCCACTCTGGGCTACGAGCTGACCTTCTCCACCGAGGTGCAGGAGTTCGGTGTCACCCAAATCCGGGATCTCAAGCCAAACGGGCGCGACACCGCGGTGACCGAGGAAAACAAGTTTGAGTATGTGCAGCTAGTGTGCCAGCTTAAGATGAGCGGCTCCATCCGACAGCAGTAAGTATATACATATATCTACATATATTGCATGACATGGATTCTACATATTATTTCCCTCCACAACAGATTGGACGCATTCCTTGAAGGCTTCTACGACATTATTCCAAAGCATTTAATTTCGATATTCAACGAACAGGAACTTGAACTTCTCATATCCGGCCTGCCGGATATTGACATTGAAGATCTAAAGGCGAACACCGAGTACCACAAGTACACCTCCAAATCGGCCCAGGTGAGACATTGATTGTAAATTCTTCTCCTTCTATCCCGCTCTAAACCATGTCTTTCCACATTCATTAGATTCAATGGTTCTGGCGTGCACTGCGTAGCTTTGACCAAGCGGACCGCGCCAAGTTCCTGCAATTTGTCACTGGCACATCGAAGGTGCCGCTGCAGGGCTTCGGCTCACTGGAGGGCATGAACGGGATTCAAAAGTTCCAAATCCATCGGGACGATCGATCCACTGATCGCTTGCCCTGTGCGCACACCTGGTAAGTAGGAAGTCTCAAGTTAAATGAGTTTAGTCAGAGTGCAATGCCACAAACCGAATTAACTTAATCATTACTCGATTGCAGCTTCAACCAACTGGATCTGCCCATGTACAAGTCATACGACAAACTGCGGAGCTGTCTGCTGAAGGCCATACACGAGTGCTCCGAGGGCTTCGGCTTCGCCTAAGATGCGACAACTGTGGCGGCGGGGCCAACCAGCCAGCAGAGCAACCGGGAACCAACCAACCATGGACGCAACACTATTCCTACAACGCCCTCAAACGCACGGGCGCAACGACGAGAAATGCATAATAGATTTGAATAGAACAGAACAGCCACTGCAAATTTGCGATAGCGGCTACAGAAACTGCATACATACACAGTACATATAGTTATATAGTATATATAAAAATGTTGAATTAATTATTAATTTTCGCGCCTATATATATACAATATATATTTTCTTAAATTTTCAAAAGAAAACGGAAAAATCTAAGGAACCCTAACAAAAAAAAAAAAAAAAAAGAAAACTGATACACACGCGAAACAGCATATTCGATTTAAAATTCTCTGCGTAACTCATCTTCTAAATATTTTGTTTTGAAATCTATCTCTGTCGTTTTGCACATTTTTTATCAAAAGAAAAGGATTTATATTAAAGGAGTACACAAAATTTGGCAAATTTTTATTTATCCAAACGCGAAACCGAATAGAAAAGGATTAAAATACGTAGTATATAGATGGCAAATGCACATAAACAGATTTACACACTTTGGTTTCTTGTTTACTTAAGTGAATGTACCGAAGATAAAGGGAAGCAACAGAAAATAATTAAATGGATTAAAGTATTTTGATGTAAGAAATAAGTCCTTATGTTATGCATTTTATGTTTACCTTTGGAATAATGAGCCGCAGATGTAACTTAAAGAATGTGGAATAAAGTAAGAGTAAGCTCATTTATCATAATAAATTTTCAGAAATCACTTCACAAGCTCATCATTGATAAATGCGGCTGGAAAGGATGGGTACACCAGTTTTGTAAATACATATGTATTTATATATATAAGGTCAATCTTAAGTGACTTGTGCGCCTATAAATTCTATACTATCGCAACGGTCAACGAAGGATCGATATCACTGCACAGTGAACCGATAACCGATCAACATTATCGATTGTGACATCAAACTTTCGGACAGCTGTAGTCCGTATGGATTTGTTTATCCGAAAAGAATTGAGCCTGTCCACCAGCAGCGTGCTTGAAGATGTGGCACCGCACTGCCTCAAGCTACTCACCTGGCTGCACGCTTGCCAGGAGGAGATGCACTCCGAGAACCGTCATCTGCGACTGAACCAATCCGCTGTGGAATCCCTGCTGAAGGCTCACCTGTACCTGTTCGAGTGTTATGATCGCTTCGGGGAATCGCTGGCCGACCGCTGCGATTCCCGGGGCTTCTTCACTGGTTGCGCCACATTGGAGGATCGGCGGAAGTGCATCCGTGAGCTGTGCACCACCATTGTGAACACACGAAAAGGAGAAACTCATGCGCCACTGCTCCACCTTTCGTATCAAACGTTCGCAGAGATTCAGCCTGCATGGAGTGGGATCAGTGATCTGGATTGGTCGGAAATACGACAATCAGATGCGCTCTCTTTCAACGATTTTATCAATCCTGATCTTCAACAGATGCGCCGGCTGGTCAAGCGGATTGGACGCTTGTCCAGTCTTCAGGACATGCAGACCGCTCTAAAGCGGTCCATGGAGCTGATTGGATACCAGGTGTGGATGCAGCTTTTCAAAGAGCCAAAGGACAGTGACATCCACATAGATTGCTACCTCATGCGTCACATGATCTGCGACACTCTAACAGAGGGCGTATCTACGGCTTGCACCGGCTTCCTGCACAATATCTTTCTGTTCGTATCGCAACCCGCCAATGAGATGAGATTCTGGGCCAGTATGGAGCATGTACATCTGGCTGGCAGCTTGATTGCCTACCTAATCGACCATTGGAATCGCCACCTGCCCTACTTTGACATTGATGAGATGCAATTGACCGCTGATGCTCCTGTTACGGCTGTCGCGGAGCTGCCCGTGAACGAGGCCACATACATAACCAATCTGATGCTGGCAACCGGATCAATATGTCGGCGGCAGTTCGCCCAGCAGCTGCGCGCCCAGCTGCCCGCCAATTTTTGGACTGCTTTGCTGGAGCTGCTAAATAAAGTGGCATTCGTTTTCAGTTAACTACACTACGATTTTAATCATGTTTCGGCAGAAATTCGCAGTTGCCATCGGTCAGGCGAACCACCTTCTCGCCCTTCTCGGCCAGGATCTCCTCAATGTTGCGCTTGCCTTCCAAATCTGTGAACCAGTTCAGATTGTCGGCGATCAGGTGGTGATTGGAGCAGCCCTCGCAGGTCACGATGACAACGCCGCGTTGGTATGCCAGCTTCGAAATGGTCTTCATGTTTCGCGTTTGGCACACTTTGCAGGTATAGATCAGCTGCATCTTGCCCTCCAGTTTAGCCAGGGGAATGCTATTAGTGGCCACCGTCTTGTCTGCATCGTCCTGGGAGCAAATATTAATAATTCTAATTAGATTTTGTTTGTTATTTATAACCTTTAATTATTACAATTGATTTATAATTTTTTTAATTACACATGTAAATAACATTAATTTTAATATCAATTGGTTGGTTTATTTATATTTACAATTAATTTCCAAACTTACCACTGGCTTACTGCAGTGTAAGCTGCGGCAAATGCACGTGTAGTTGCTTTTGTTGCTGCTGCTGAAAACAGCTGATTGTGTTTTGGCAGCAAAGTGATGCACTTGCAGCTGCAATTGTGGGCTATCTAAAGCTTTGATTTGTGTTTTAGGGGAACTGCCAAATAGTGCACGTCTTGTCACGCCTGTGCTTATTTTATGCAATTGTCTTAGGGCGGACATGTTCCTGATTTTGTTGATATTATTTAACTCGGTCGGAAGAGTATGAAATTCACTCTAACTTAGTGATGGCCCTTTCTTTCGTTTTAATGTTAGTCGTGGGTCACGATGTTAAACTGTTACCTAAGCTGGTGGAAAATGTGTTAAGATAAAACTGTTGTAACTCACAGATATTTTGCAAAATTTTAAACAAAAAGCGCACTGAGAAATATTAGGTTATTGAAGAGTCTGCCTGGACTCTGAAATCCAAAAATAACTTCTTCGAAGTCACGATTTCTCCGGTAGCCCGTGACTCTGCCAATCGATGACATCTGTTGATGCCATCTCACGTGATACTATCGACAGTACTATCGACCATCTGGTAGTAAGCACTCATATTTTCGAATTTTTTGTGTGGAAATTCTCGAGGAAAACAAATTATATAAAGCACAGGAACCGATGGCGACACGTGTGGTGGCAACGGCTACAGTGCGGGCGGTCAAGGGTCGCAAGTTAATCCCGACGCGGGCCGCTCTGACCCTGGTAAGGAAACCAAAATCTGGTGAAATCGGCGCGTGCTGCTGCTGATGAAGTAACAGTCCCCTTCGATCTGATTATTATGATGTCCCCCAATCTTTTTCAGACTCCTGCGGCAGTACTGCGCATCAAGACGCTTCTGCAGGACAAACCGGACATGGTGAGTGACTGCTGACAAGTTGTTATAGAACCATGGTTACATTTCAGTGGGCGTTCTATGGACTTTTTATAAGCACGATTGAGTTCTTCATTGTTTTGCTAAGCTACTTATTGTAAATAACTTAAGCCTTAAGGTCCCTAGGCACGTTAAATAGTCTTTAAAGAGTATAGGAAGTTTTTAAGTGGACTTCTTCAAGAACTTAGTCGATTCCAGGTTAATTTGGATTTGGGAGTAGGCTTTTTCATTGCCGGGTAATACATCATATATTTTAATGTTGATGAAATATTATTTTAGCCAAAAGTATTTGCGAAAAATATAGCGCTTAGCAAATTACCTTTATGGCCAGGGGAATACTTATTTTTCTTATTCTTAAGTGAACAAAAGGTTTAGTATCATAATTTTTATCTTGTTGCTCAAGATATACTCCTTGAAACATTAAGGCTACCGAGTTATTTTTCTTTAGTCTAAAACCAAATGGAGTAAAATGATCCCTGTAAATTAGCATACTACTGTAAATTCGATGTTTCTGCCACAGGTTGGTCTAAAGGTGGGCGTTCGACAGCGAGGATGCAATGGCCTCTCCTACACGCTGGACTATGCCAGCCAAAAAGGTAAGCGACTCTGGACAGAAAGTTTCTGGGTGGAGATCTAATGCCCAGCTGTCTTTGTTCATTTTTGCCAGCAGACAAGTTGGACGAGGAGGTGGTCCAGGATGGCGTCAAAGTTTTCATCGACAAGAAAGCGCAGTTATCGCTGCTGGGTAAGTTAATTCCAAATACGCAATGCATTGGACAAGCCAGCTAATACAGCTTATAATTCGCTTCTAGGAACCGAGATGGACTTTGTGGAATCGAAGCTGTCCAGCGAGTTCGTGTTCAACAATCCGAACATTAAGGGCACATGCGGCTGCGGCGAATCATTCAGCATGTAAACCGATGGAGATCCGGAGGAGATCCGCCGGCACCCGCCTCGCAGACAGACCTAAATTAACCAAGTTAAATGCAGTACGCGGCCTGACCTTGTATCTCATTTCTTTGTTGGCAAAAGCACCGCATCCTTTGTAAATTTTACTTCGCAAACGAATTCTAAATGTTAAGTTGTGTTCTATAGTTAAATTTTAGTTGTAGCGCTAGGTAAGTGACCCACCCGCTTCCTGGCCGCAGGCTGGCAGTTTGTCCTCTTTAGCCCTAGTTCAATATATAGACAAGGAATGTTCTAGAAAAACCGCTTTCGAATCAAGTTTATTGTGTACTAAAAAAGTCTTTTACTACGTGCCTTTTACCGCTGATTAATGCCCTGGAAACCGTACTCATCGTACTCGTCGTGCGTATAGACAAACTCGTCAAAGTTGGGGCTGGTTGCCACCTCCTTGCCGCCGTACCAGGCGTACCGCACCGGATCCTCGGGGCAGATGAGCGACACCTCCAGATCGTCGGGCACTAGAGCGCGCAAATCGTGCTTGAGGCGCGGCAGAAATCCAGGAAACTGGGCACTGCCGCCCACAATAAGGATGTTGAGCAGGAGTTCGCGGTGTGCCTCCCAGGGGCAAGCTTTCAGGCAATCGGCCACCGCCTCTGGAATGCCCACCTGCTGCACACCAATATCAGAGGGATTGAATAGCAGTTCGGGCACGGTGAAGCGTTCGTTGCAGAGCGGCACCATTTGCTGCTGCTCCTCATCCTCGCGCGGCTTGCCGGGAATACGGACATAGCCCCGTTTGACGGTGGTGAAGTCCGGAAGGACATAATCCACGGTGATTTCGCGACGCTTCTCCTCCGAATAATGCACCTGCATCGTCTGCTTGAAATCCTCTGCCACAAAGCAGACATCCTCCTTGATCTGGTTAACCACATGACTCTCGTCCATGACGTTTAGGTGGCGATAGGAGATCAGCTCCTTCAGGTGGTTGGTCAGCGCCTTGCCGCCCATGTCGATGCGTCGTATGCCCTCGAGAACGCGCCGTCCCAGCACAAAGGGAACGATGTGGGTGAAGCTATAGCCTACATCGATGATAATGCAGTTGAGCGACTGCATTGTGGTGCGCTCCTCGCTGTCAGCGACATAGTTAAAGGCAGCCAAATCGGCAGCAGTTGTCTTGTACACACCGGCCACCCGGTACTCCTCGAACAGCATCTCCAGCATCGCTTCCTGGACGCTCTGGAAGTTCATCTGCGGCTCGGTGATGACAATATTGCGGTTTTCCAGCGTACAACCGATACCGTCCTTGCTAAAGATGTAATCCCACACAGTCTTTTGTGTGTCCCAGTTGAGCAGGTAGCCGCGCTGAAACGCCAGGATGTAATAAAGCGCCGAAGTGTCACGGCATTCTTCTATCTGATTGCCCACAAAAGCGCGCCGCCGCTCGCTCTTCGCTTTCATGATGCAGTTGGGCACCACCTGCGGCTCGTCCTGATTGGCTAGACCCACTTTGGCCGTGTGTGCCCCGTTGTCCAACACCACCACAGCGTTGGCCATCCTTTCTGTGCTTCTCGATGTGGATCTATAGCATTTTCCGGAAGACAACAAACGAAACTTCGTCTGCTTTAGGGCTGTCGATTGTTCTAGCCTTTTTATCGGATCTAGCGGGATTTTTAAATTTGGTATTTTTGGTATTTTGAAAGGTCAACAAAAATTAAATACAAAATTATTGAAGTCCGTTAAAACCTCCCAAATTTGATTTCATACCTAAAATAATAGAGAAAGATAAAATACGCTTCGCCAACGTTTTTTCGAATCCTCCAAACATGCAAAATACATTTTTGGCGTAATTGAGAATAAAATACCCAATAACACGGATTAATTAAAGTCTATTACTATGTATATTGTAACAATATTTTGGAACGCTACCAATCTATATTTTGGCAAAATACAAATATAGTACAAAAGCTGTCGACTAAGCCTACTTGCTATTTGGGAATTGAGGCGGCAGGAGCCGCCAGTGGCAGGACCTCTAGCTTATGCGGATCACTGTGATCGCTGACGAAGTGCAGCACTTCAAAACCCACCTCCACCATGATCAGGATTATGATCATCCACTCCAGTCGGATGTGATGGGCATCGTTCAGGTTGTGGGACACCAGCTCGGCCAGCTCCACACAGTGGTTGATCTTCTCGTTCATCACCTTGGTGCGCCGTGAGATGCTGAAGTAGGAGCACACCTGCAGGTACAGCGCCTCCAGTTCCTCGCGATCCCAGTAGAAATCGGGGGCATCCAACAGATCCGACGACAGGTTGATCACATGACGCAGGGCAAACAGTTCGCCGGTTTTTCGCAGCATGGCCGCCCGCGAGATTCTTAGTCGGCGACCACGCTTTAGATCCTCGGTAAGATGCTCTATGGAATCTATGTAGCGGTCCAGTGTGGCCTCCCACATGCCCAGCTTTATAGACTGCGCCATCGCATTGGAGAAGGTGTACTTGTACAGGAAGCTATCCGTGTCGGCAGTGACAAAGAACTTGCCATTCTGGAAGAATGCCCGAGACGTGACATTGAAGTCGCTACTCTCCGCCACCAGATCGCCCTCCACATCCACCGCCGTCGATGGGATATAGGTGTAGGGCATCACCTCGCTCTCCCCGTGAACCAGGGCACTCACATACGATTCCCTTTCGAAGGCGCGCAGGAAACTAAGCACATTGTTCGTCTCGATGTCGCTGCAGTTCCAAAAGACCACCGAGCCCTCGCGGAAGAAGAATATCTCCCGCGGTTGCTGACCCGTCGGATATTTAGACGCCACAAAGAGCACATTCTGCTCCACGTCCAGATTGTCTGTGGAGAAGAAACGCTTCGTCTCGTACAGGTTCTGTTCGCGAAGGGCTATCTGCAGATCCTCCAGATTATACTCCTCGGCGGTCGTATAGCCACGGGTGTTGAGAAAGCCCAAAGCGGACAGTTCATCGATGGCCAGGCGTTTCTTTCGAATGATCCTGGTGCGAATGGGAGATAGGATAGACTCCAGGCGCTCCTCGGCCAGCGGCAATGGTTTTACCCGCGGCTGTGCTTGGGTTCTGGGTGCAGAAGCTGCTTGAGCTGGCGCTGCAGCCGATGAGGTAGCTTCACTGGCTATCCATCGACGCCGGCTCATCATCCACTGCGTCTGCAATTGCTGGCGTGGAATTCGAAGTCCTCCCTGGACCATCGGCCAAAATCTCAGGCGTGCAAAGTTCATGGCGTTTAATTTATCCCTTAGCAGCAATTAGTGGCCCATTTCTGGGAGATGTGATCGGTTCGGTAACGAATCGTATCTTACCTGGTGGCTATATATATATATATAGCCTTATATATATATATACATATAGTAGCCGGCTTTCGATAGTCTTTTGTTGTGGTTATCAGAGTCGATAGGCACACAGTGATGAATTCATTTTCCAGCCGCTGGCAATTTTTAGGCTATGAATTTCCATGTTTGCTTGCTATTTATATAACTATTTTGGTAGCTGAAATGATTTTATTGTTTTTTTTAAGCATGTAGAATGGATGGGGAATCTTCAAGTCACAACAAATATATTGAAATCATATTTCTTTGTTGAAACCTCCTTCCAGTACCTACAAAAAATACAAAATCTGGCTTCAAAATAGCTTAAGTGTGGGAACTTAATTTAAGCAATAAAAAGCTGTTTTCCAGCCAACCGCCTGCACTGTTGCGATAACGATAGCCACCAGCTGTTTTTCTCGCTCCGACTTAAACGTTTTCTTCCCCGTTTGGGGCAAAACAAAACGTAATAACTACCAAACATTCAGCACGTGCGGCGCCAGAATTCAGGACGCACTGCAGCGGGCGATAAGAGCAGAAAGCAACGCGGATGTGCAACAACGCCTGATAGCAACGTACAATGAACGCATTGCGCAACATTTTCACATCGCGAACTCTCAACTATTTGCGCCAGAATGGACAAAACGCGATCCTCAACGCCACCCAGCAGCAGCAGGCGGTGGACGCGGTGCCGCTGACCACCGATGCTGACCAGCAGCTAAAGGCGTCGCGTCCAGCACCGCTTTCCATACCGCGCTCCATACTCGATGCCTGCCATTTCACGGCCAAACAGTTTGACCTGGGACGCAACACGTCCGGGAACCAGGCGAATGGCTCTCTTTCGCCAACGACACTGAAGCGCTTCGGACGCATGCAACGCCGCATGGAGCTGGTGTACCGCTGCAAGCTGTGCAACACCCGCAACACAAAGACCATCAGCGAAGAGGCCTACTATAGCGGCGTGGTAATTCTCCAGTGTGACGGCTGTGCCGTTGACCATTTGATCAAGGACAATCTGGGGCTGTTCACCGGCAGCGATGGCGATAGCAGCATTAGCTCTGGAATCAGTACCAGCAAGAATATCGACCAGGTGCTGGCCGACCGGCATGCCCGCGTCCGGGTTATCAAGGTGAACGAACGCGGCGAGCTGATTTAGGAACTCTAGTCAAGGGGCATCAGTACAGGAGAGAGCCTGGTGCCGTCAACCTGCGAATCGTGTCTGAGGAGGACACACTCGTCTACACGGGGTGGCACATTGAACCCAAGCATTCAAGCACCCAAGTACCCAATTGCAAACCAGAATCCCACATTCTGTTTCCGAGCTAAACCGGCTGTAAATAATAATTGTACTGTAATTGTTGATTGTTTCGGGCCGTGAGTAATGCCTAAAAAGTGATTAAAGGAACGCCCAGTTCAAAAGCTAAAAACATATTTGTATATGATTAAATCTGTTATTCCGCTGTAGACTATCTAATCAGGGTACACAGAAAGCAAAATGGCAAAAATTGTTGATATAAACTCAAAATTGATAAGTTGAAATGTTTAAATGTAAAAGAACGTATATCTGAATGTAGGCTACGCCTATTTGATATTGACCTGGTTTTCTTTCTGTGTACGCATACGCATATATACTAGACGCTGATTAAGGTACCTACCCGAAACTCTAAATCCCACCCAGTCACGTATGTATCTGGAGAGCGCTAGAAGGCGGTAGAGGGGCCCGATGACCGCTTGCTAATTGATCGGATCGATCAAAACACAGCCGGGGTGCTAATTATCGCAACAATTAAAATTGGCACGCTGCCGACGCACTGGTGAAATATACCGGGTATATATAGATACGGCTTTGGCGCTAGACACCATTGTATACCATATATAAGTATGGCAAACATGCCCCTGTCGAGTGATCGTTTCTACGTCTTAGTCCCAAAGAGAATCCCAGATAGATGTGCCCCCAAAATTGACTAACAACGCGAATTTTGGGCGCTTATGGCAGGTGGACGGGAGATAAGAAGCCCGCGGAGTCTGTACTAATTGCCAAGTAGTCCTACCTGCTCGATTTATATATTTCAAATTTAGCAATGTATTTCAATCCGCAGTCTTGTCACAATTTATATAAATATAGGTATATTTATTGTTTATTTTGCAAACGCCAAGCTGATTGTCGTAGTGCCATAAAGGTATATACATCGAATCCCCAAGTAAGCGTGACACCGCTTTTTGTGACGTCAACAAAATTCGAAATATATTATTTAAACAAGCAAGCAAATTTCAAGGCACCACGTCTAGATCCACCGCTAATCCTAAGGAATTCTCCCAGACGTGCAACTGATAAACTGATAAAAACGTCATAGCTTATCTTTGGAGGCAATTTGAAACTACCATTCGAAAATATAATTTCTTGGGAAGTAACAGATAGAGTAAAGCCCGTCCTTGAATGAAACAAAGTTGGTTTATTTTTTAAATTATTTAAACCTATTTATTCGAGAATACTTCGAATACGCGTGTGTATATATTGTATGGTACTAAAATCTCATTTGATATTACTAGGATAAATAAAATTGTGATTTGCTTCTGTTGTCTCTTATTTAATTTACACGTTTAGAAGACGCTTCTTACGGTTTAAAATATTCATTACGATACTACTTTGTTTAAATATTTCGTTCTTTATCGGATGAGTTTCTTTTTGCTTGTTTTGTAGGTTGTGTGTTTTTTTTTTTTTTTTTTGTAGTTTTCCGTCTGATTCTCCTGGAAGCGCACTTTTGTTACGATTCTTGTGATTATTAATCTCGCTCTGGCTCTAAATTGTTTTGTATTTTCGCCTTTTGTTTTTCGTCTCCTCTCACTTCTGTTAACTATTTCACAATTTGTTTGAATGCTCGCCCAAATCCAAAGGAAGCCGACGGACCTTGATAAGCGGTCTTGGATTTTGGTTAATTTCGCATTAATGAGTTAGCTCCCGAGCCGGATGCTCTGTGCATTGTGCTAAATGAACTTAGGCTTTAATGAAGCTTCACCCAACTGGGCGCTGGGCTCTGGGCTCTCGTTTTCGTATGCTATATTGCCATGGCTATAGCTACGTATGCTGTTATTAGTTATTCGGCCTGCTTGAGTTATATATTTACAAATAGGATTACATTTATGTACGATAGGTTAAAGTTACGAAGGACGAAGTGGCGCGATATTTTCGAGAACCTAACTCGCCTCGAAGTTTATTACAGATTCAGTCGTTCGCGGAGGGTGCGTTTGGTGGCCATTGGGCAATAGCAATGGCAATGGCCACGCACCGTGCAGTACATTAAGTTTGTGGGTGTATTTCGCATTGAGTGGCTTAAACATAGATGCTTAGTAACTTAGTTATTGCTGTTAATTATCGGCCTAAGTTGCTGGGGCTTCCGGTTCGGTCTATCAGTTTGATGGCAATTGGCTGCTGAAGTTGTGGTTCTTGCGTATAAATATATAGTTAGTACATAGAATACTTTATGAAATACTTAGTTCTGGAATGCATCTACTCGCTCACATCGATTTTCGCGGGACGGGGAGGAATGTATACAATTCTTACATAAATAATCAGATTGTAATGCTGTTTGTGTCTGGGGAGAACTCGCAATTGGCACTGAAATGTTAAGCATTTGTTATAATTAAATTAAAAGTACCTCTATAGCCCTCTCTTTCTGGCCCTTCCTATCTCGTTCTCTGTCTATTTGAACTTACTTAAGAATCATTGGGAAGTCGAAGGAAGTGTTTGATAATTTGCTTAGAACTAAATTTGCATTCATGGGCGTTGTTAAATACTTTTTGCGTTTAAGTACGACTACAGGTAAGTGGATTCAAATAGAATACTATTAAATTAGGGTTAGCGTCGATAATTAATATATAAAACAAAATAATACATGAGACCCTGTTCGCGATTTCGATTCAGACAAAATAAGAGATACAAATACGATATTTGTAAGATAGCTGCATGCAAAGTTATTCATTTTGACAGTGAAAAATAGTTTAGTCGCGAAAACTGCGTAATTTCAGTTCACTGGCATTGCTTTCAACTGAATCAAATTGCAAATAGGACTGAACATTGAGTGAGTCTAAAACTAATATTAAGAAAGCTAACTAAGCTGCCTAAGTTGCTGGCAATTTAAAGACGTTACAGTTGCAGTTGCAGTATCAGTTACATGTAAAACTATTTGACATAGCGACCACGCCCACGGCCACGTCCGCGTCCCCTTCCGCGGCTCTTGGCCTTGGACCAGTCCTTGTCCTTGTCCCTCTCCCAGTCCCTATCTCACAGACTGCTACGACCCGATCGCCCAACAGCGCCGACGGCACCATTGGGTCGATTGTGGCGACGTTTGTGCAGATAGAGGCCGGCCGCCTGGGCGAACGCCGATCCGCATATCTGGCAGACGTAGCGCTTGATTTTATCGTGGATCTGCTTGTGGTTCTGCAGATTCTTTGTCGATTTGAACGTCTTGCCACAAATGTCGCACTTAAACTCCTCGTTGCTGTAGTGCTGCTTCAGGTGCTCGAACAGGCTGTTGCGCGCCACAAACGATTTATTGCACTGCGGATAGTCGCATTTATAGCACCGCTCCCGCTCATCCTGGTGGACAATTCGATGCGCATTCAAGTGGCCGGGCGTGGCGAAACTGCGTCGGCACACATCGCATCCATACGGCTTGGCAATGTCACTGCCTCCACCTCCACCCATTTGATCATCATCGTCGACCATTTCATCGGTTGCCTTAGCAGCGTGCGTCCTTCTTCGACGACGGCCGGTGCCTCTGGATTCCTCGCCCTCGACTCCGATCTCGTCATCCCCTAGACCGCCCTCCATGATGCTGTGATTCAGCGCCAGCGAGGGCAGAAACAGCTCCTCGTTATGGCGCCGCAGGTGCTCATCATAGTTGTCCTTCTCCCGGAAGCTGGCCGTGCACAATTCGCAGTTGAACTTAATATCGGTTACGCCGCCCAAATGCAGCTGCTTGTGGCTGTCGAACTCCTCGGCATTATGGAACTGTATGCTACAGATATTGCAATAGTAACCGCCACCCAAACTGGGCTGGTGGGTGAGCATGTGGAGGTCCAGTTCCCTGAGTGTTTGCACTATTTCCGGACAGTGTGCGCACTTGAACGGCGGAATGTCATCGTCCATAAAGTGCATCTGATCGTAGTACAGATAGTTCGCAATGAATTTCTTGCCCAGCCGCTCGCTATTAAGGCGTTCCATCTTCTGTTTGGAGTAGTCGAAACGCAGCTGGGAAATGCGCTTCGAGATCTGGATGGTGGTCACATCGATCAGCTGCTGCAGTTCAATGGCCATCTGGTGGAGTCCCTCGCCGCGTCGCTCCTTGCTGCGGTAGTCGGGATCGAAGCGGTTGTAAAAGCACTGGTACCGCTTCACCATGCTCAGCAGCTTGGCGGTTGACGTATCGTTCCAGATGGCCGAGAAGCGGCGGCGATAAGAGGTTTCCTGTCGGAAGGGGGAGAGTTATTGATTGATATTTGGATATCCCCACAAAACTACCAATTTCCCATGCACTGAACAACTCTGATTAGGCATTTTTGAGTTGCATTTTGAGGTAGGATGAGAAGACTCTATTACTGCGCATATGCAGCAGAAATTCGGTTTATAAATTAATTAATTGCGTAGAAAAGTCGGCCCTTGTACTTTAAAGATTTTAAAAAACAAGTTAAATTACACCGAAGATTTTGTAACCAGCCTCCTTACCACGTCGGTAGATAAATATAATTCTCTACGCAAGTCTGCCCCCCGCTTACGTTAATTAATCCGCTGTCTAGCTTTCGTTTCAATCCACCCCCATTTGAGAGAAGCGGACGCCTAGGATCGAATTCAAGGGAGGACCACTAACCTTAACAACAGCATCGGACATCTTATCGTTGTAGCTGTATACCTCATTGAGGAAATGCAGCTCCTTGAAGTACCACAGCGTACTGATGTTGGTCTTCTCCAGGGCCATACGATTGCACTCCCGCTTGTACACCGTCCGCAGGTTGTCCCACTTGCGGGTGATTGCGTCCTTGGCCAGCGAAATGTTAAACCTGCTCTTGAACTCCAGCACAATCCAGTCGAGGAAGCGGGCGCGCTTCACGCGATCCCGGAACTGTGCATTGCCGTGGTCCCACAGAAAGGGGTTGCGCTGATACGAGTGGATGAGAAACTGGATCATCTTGCGGTCCTTGATGTGCATCGTAACCTCCCGGTCGCGCTAAGGGGTGGGAAAATGACAAAATCATTACAAATAGGTATATGGAAATTAGTGAAAATTAAGGGTGAAATAAATGTAGCTTTTAAGTCCACGGATGAAAATCGGTCACAAAACATATAATTATGTACAATATAGTATACAGATTGAACTTACTCCTAGCAGGGACTCTTCCACCATCTCATCATAGCTGAGAAAGTCCGATTCGGGTCCAAAGCCACTGTGGTTACCGCCGTCGAATCCCGCAAAGTCCATATACTCCCCGGAATTGTCGTCCATATAGCTGTGATCCGGATCACCGTAGTCGTCCATGGAGGAATCGCCGTCGCCGGCGATGAGAACCTCGCTAGATATGTCCCTCTGGCGCTGCTTTGTGACCTTTTTGCGAGCTCGCGTCTTTGAACTGACCACCGGTACATCGCTTTCGGGTAGTATTGCCTCGTCCTCATCCTCGCCAGCCTCGGAATCGTGTATCCGGTGCTCGTCATCGTCGTCCTCGTCCGCGACCACATCATCATCGCTGCAAGGCAGATCCTGGAGCTCCTGTTTGATGACCATCTGGGGCTCCAGCAGCGCCGTGTCTGCGTCCGTTAAGTCTTCAATCTCGTGGAAGTTGAGCAGATCCCCGTTGCGACTGGACAGGGACATGGGCTCGCCGAGATTGAAAGAGTGACGGGAGGCGGCGGCGGTATTTGCCACGGACTGGTCGCCCAGGTGAACTGTCTGCATGTGGCCGATAAAGGAGTCGAAGTAGAGGAACTTCTCGCTGCAGAAGATGCATCGCAGGGCAAAGTACTGGAAGTCCTCCGTGGCCGTCACCATTCCGCAGTCCTTGGTGCAGTGACGGAAAATCTCCTCGTCGTTGGTACGTGGATACGCCAGGACACTCATCGCACCGCCTGCGGATCCGCGTCCTGTCCAGTTAACGATCGGAATTTAATTGGGGCTCTCGGTTCGCTACGCTGCGGTCGGCGCACTCGAATATCGTGCTTTATTTTGACTTTATTTTATCCCGATTTGGCCAATAAAAAAAAAACTTTTTAGTGTTGGGGTTTGGGCGCACGGTTGCATTTCATTTACTAATCGGCATCGGTGGTAGCTCACCTGCCGATTAAATTGTGCGTTTTATTTTGGAGTGATTTAGCGGGAAATAGATATAGCGGCTAGAACGGCTACAAATAGCCGTTTCTAGCGGGAAATATGTACAATATTTTTTTAAATGCAATTGTATATCTTAACCACTTACATACCTTGTCTACAAACAAAAAAGGCTATTGAAAATAAATAGAAACAGCATTAAAATAAAAGTGCTTTAAACTATCGTTATTGTACTAAAAAAAAAACATAAAACATTGCCGATACTATCGATTGAACTGTTTCGGAGTCTCTGTTTGCCTTTCTTCCGATCTGGTCACACTTGTCATCTGATTTATTCGATTCGGCTGACTTTCAGCGTGTTTCGATTTGGTTCAATCTTATTGATTTACTTCGCCCGGAAAAGAAAACCTCTGTTTAATTGCAAGACGCAATGGCTTCGATTAGCTTGCTGAACCCCAAGGCCGAGTTCGCCCGCGCCGCCCAGGCTCTGGCCATCAATATCAGTGCCGCCAAGGGATTGCAGGATGTGATGCGCACCAATTTGGGACCCAAGGGCACAGTGAAGATGTAAGTAACTGAAACAATACTCTAATATCTCTCACTTTGCAATGCTTTAGCAGTTTGAGTCAGAATGCAAGTTAATAGACATAAAAACATAGGTTTTGGCCACAGCTGCGGCGACTGCAAGTTTGAGGTTAGAGTTGAACTAGCGGCATGCGTCATTGCAAAAGAAAGAGAGAGAATGTTGCAAGTCTGGAGCAAAAAGCTTAGGAATCAAGTGTTTTTATTCAATTTCAAATGGTGCCCTAAATGAGAGGTGCCCCAAGTGCTTTTTGTTTAGTGAGAAATGTGTGATAAACTGCATATCGAGCACTGTGTGATTCAGAAAGTGGGATCGAAAGAGGCGTGACTTGACTCACGCGCCGTGCAAAGTGAAACAAGCATACTAATTCTAGAAACTTCGCAGGTTGGTTTCCGGCGCCGGCGACATCAAGATCACCAAGGATGGCAATGTCCTGCTCCACGAAATGCAGATCCAGCATCCCACTGCCTCCATGATTGCCAGGGCTAGCACGGCCCAGGATGATTCCACCGGCGATGGAACCACCACCACTGTGATGCTTATTGGCGAGCTCCTTAAGCAGGCCGATATCTATCTGTCCGAGGGACTGCATCCTCGCATCATGACCGAGGGATTCGAGAAGGCCCGCGACAAGGCATTGGAGGTGCTCGACAAGGTCAAGGTGCCCGTGGAGATCAACAAGAAGAACCTGGTGGAGGTTGCCAACACAAGTCTGAAGACCAAGGTGCATCCCGCCCTTGCGAATCTGCTTACTGACGTCTGCGTGGATGCTGTCCTGACCATTGCCAGTGCCGATAAGACCAAGCCCGTGGACCTCCACATGGTGGAGCTGATGGAAATGCAGCACAAAACCGATACCGATACCCAGCTGGTGCGTGGACTGGTTATGGATCATGGTGCTCGCCATCCGGACATGCCAAAGCGTTTGGAGAATGCCTACATCCTCACGGCCAATGTCTCGCTGGAGTACGAGAAGGCTGAGGTCAACTCTGGCTTCTTCTACAAGACCGCTGAGGAGCGTGAGGCCTTTGTGCGCGCCGAGCGCGACTTCATCGACCAGCGTGTGAAGAAGGTGATCGAACTGAAGCGCTCCGTGTGCGATGGCACCGACAAGACCTTCGTCCTAATCAACCAGAAGGGCATTGACCCCATCTCTCTGGACGCCCTGGCCAAGGAGGGCATTCTGGCCCTTCGTCGTGCCAAGCGCCGCAACATGGAGCGTCTGGCTTTGGCCTGCGGTGGCACTGCAATGAACTCCTTTGACGATCTGCAGGAGGAGCACTTGGGCTACGCTGGTGTGGTCTATGAGCATGTTCTGGGCGAGAACAAGTACACTTTCGTGGAGGACTGCAAGAACCCGCTGTCCGTTACGATTCTGATTAAGGGTCCCAACAAGCACACGATCACCCAGATCAAGGATGCCATCAGGGACGGTCTGCGGGCCATCAACAACACCATTGCCGATAAGGCTCTGGTGCCCGGAGCTGGTGCATTCGAGGTGCGCGCCTACAACGAGCTAGTCGCCTTTAAGGACACCATCAAGGGCAAGTCCCGCCTGGCAGTGCAGGCCTTTGCCGATGCCCTGCTTGTCATTCCGAAGACGCTGGCCGTGAACAGCGGCTACGATGCCCAGGACACAATCGTCAAGCTAACTGTGGAGGATCGCCTGAGCCCCGAACTGATTGGCCTGGATCTGGCCACCGGCGAGCCCATGAAGCCGGTGGATCTGGGCGTCTACGACAACTACATCGTTAAGAAGCAGATCCTCAACTCCTGCTCGATCATCGCCAGCAACCTGCTTCTCGTCGACGAGGTGATGCGTGCGGGCATGACGAGCCTCAAGGGCTAGTCCCCATCAATTCAACCGATTCATTCACGTTAACCAAGTTAATGCACCGCCTGCCCCTCAACCCGCGTCTCATAAAGCCCCACAACCAAAAGAAAACAAAACGTAAATGATTTGGAAACACACGCGAACTCGGAATGGTTGCGGCTGCAAGTATTCACAATAAAATATAAAAAATCATACACAGCTCTATACTTAACGCTAATGTATTTTCTATTTTTATTACCACTAATGTTTACTCACTACAAACCATTGGTTTAAAAATAAATGCTTAAATCGAAACGTCGAGTGAATTAAACTTTGATTAAACTTTGATTTTGGTATTTCGAGCCACAGATTTGAATATTATAAACCCGCGAGTTTAAGAACTGGAACCAGTGGGTTACCCGTGACGCAAGACCTCCATATGGGGGACACACATGGGGAATACCCCAACTACAACTTGGTATATTTCAGGAGTCCACTGCTGGTCACACCGCAGTCAACAGTTGTCGCTTTCGCTGGAAAGCAGCAAAATCGAAGTGAATTTTTGAATTAGGAACGTTTTCAAACATGATTTCTGTTACTTGTGTGGCGCCCGTGAACATAGCACTCATCAAATACTGTGAGTAAATGAATATATTTCTCAAGGCATACATTTTTATTGGCATTCTTTCAGGGGGAAAGCGGCACGAAGATCTCATTCTGCCCGTCAATGATTCCATTAGTATGACTCTGAGCACCGATGAGGTAAATATTAAAGAAATTGTGTGAACTTCTATTTATCTATTTGTTTTCTAAATAAATTGCCACATTGTGGTTTTAAAATACCTTTAATAATACCTAATAATACCTTTATTAATACCTATAATAATACCGGTTTTCATTTGCACGCAAATGTAAACATAAAGAAAACTTTCTATTTAACTTTTGCCAAGATCCCACAGATTTTCACTTTTCTCCGCATTTTTTCGATTTGTATTTTCACCGCGTTTGTTTAGGATAAAAATAAAATAGTAACTTAAAAACTTAGATCAAAGATTGTTCAACTTCCTGTATTTTCCGAATTATTTTTAAAATTGATCAAGATATATATATTTAACTATACTTTTAACTATACCTTTAATTCCTATAAACATTTTAAACAATTATTTACCTGTATCCCATCTTTGAAGCTTTGCGCCAAAACAACAGTGACTGCTTCGGAAACCTTTGAAAGGAATCGCATGTGGTTGAATGGAGAGGAGGTGCCCTTTGAAGAGGGTTCCCGCCTGCAGCGCTGCTTAAAGGAAGGTGAGTTAATAGTACAAGATATTATAAAATAGCATTTTAAATATACAAATGCATTACCAGTTCATCGACTGGCTGTGGCCAAAGGCTCCCAGAAGGTTCCGCCATCCTGGAAGCTGCACATCGCATCGGTTAACAATTTCCCCACCGCCGCTGGACTGGCATCCAGTGCAGCTGGCTACGCCTGCCTGGTGTACTCCCTGTCCCGACTGTACGATATACCGCTGAATGAGGAGCTAACGACGGTGGCGCGACAAGGAAGTGGATCGGCATGTCGTAGTCTGTATGGCGGATTTGTGCAGTGGCATCGTGGTGCTCTGGATAATGGCAGCGATTCGGTGGCCAAGCAAATAGCTCCTTCTGACCACTGGCCCGACATGCACGTGCTCATCCTAGTCGTAAATGATGCACGGAAGAAGACTGCCTCGACCAGGGGCATGCAACAGTCGGTGAAGACATCTCAGTTAATCAAGCATCGTGTGGATCAAGTGGTTCCCGACAGGATCACCAAACTTAGGCAGGCCATCAGAAGCCATGACTTTCAGACGTTCGCCGAGATTACGATGAAGGACTCGAATCAGTTCCATGCCGTCGCCCTGGACACCTATCCGCCGTGTGTCTATATGAACGATGTGTCCCACAGTATCGTGTCCTTTGTTCACGATTATAACGAGAGAATGGGTAGCTATCATGCTGCGTACACCTTCGATGCTGGTCCAAATGCATGTCTGTATGTCCTGGCGGAAAATGTTCCGCATCTCTTGAGTGCTGTCCAAAAAGTGTTTCCCAATGATTTGACGGATGGTAGCACTTATTTGCGAGGTCTTCCCATCCCAGAAGTTGAAAATACTGAAAGCAGCAAAATCGATTCACTAGATGTTCATGCTAAAAATGCTTTCAGATATATAATACACACAAAAGTTGGTGAAGGACCAAGTGAATTAGGCGCTGAGAGTTTATTGATGAATGGACTTCCGTTGGAGCATTAAAAGTGATTTTTAGAAGAGGAAAGAAACCGAAATTCTTGAAATAAAATATTTTTTAGAATATATTTATGCGAAAAGGTGGGGTGGATAAAAATGTACCATTGAGGCACATATGAACATTTAAAAAGTGCGATAATTCGATTTTACATGACAAAAATTCGAATATTTCAATTCTAACACCTTAATTTATACTCTTTATTTATTTTTACTCCTATAAGAATTCCGGCGAACAAATAATTGTCTATTTTTAAATAAAAGTTATGAAAAACGGAAATTATTTCGGATGGAAATTTAAGCAAACTTGTGTGTGACCATTTGTATATACTTTATTTAGAGCAAATCCGCTTCATTAGCTTAATTTCATTGTTGTTGATTTCGAATGATTTTTAAAGACAACTTGTGGGGTCGCAGCGCAAACATTTGTTGAATAGAATAATTTTGCGTTCTGAAATATGTTTATTTATGCACATAGATATTTGATTGCTTTGTGCGCAGTAAACATTTGCTGCTTTAGCAATTTTTCAATTGTATAGAAAAGTGGTTGTATTTTTCTAAAACTTTTATCTTTTAGCAGTTCAAATGAAAAATCTCGTCGAACTACTGAATATTTCAACATTCCGCCCAAAAGTGATAATAAAACAACTTTTTCAACATTCTACGTTTTCTTTGCCTTGCTAAGAAAATATTTATTATTATTTTTTTTTTTTGATATGGTATATGGCAGACTTCAGTTTAAAGTTTACATTTTAAAAGTGAGCGAAGCACTGCTATTTATTTTTATACATTTGTATATGTAGTAGATATTAGATAAGATGTAATCCATTTTTGCACAAATTACGCGAATTATGTATAAATAAGCAACAAATGAAGAGCGTAACAATTAGTAAATAAATCTTTGCAGTTGCACTGAGTTTATACTCCTTATTAAATAATTAAAAATAAGTACATTGTATGGTCATGGTATTATAAAGGTTAACATATTTATAAGGTAAGATTGTGGTTTCCTGGCTTCCTAGTTTCCTGGTTTCCAGCATAAAATAAAATGCATCTCATGTAAAACCCCATGGGTACATAATCAAAGTTAGTTTTTACACAACGATTATTTTCAGATTTCCTAATTCTGCTTATTAATTGTATCTACTGACGAATGCAAGAAATAGTAGCGAACTCCACGAACTCATCCAACTCATATTCTAATGGTGAGGCTTCAAATGTTCCACATAGTTCTCCGGAATGAGTCCTGTTTTCCCATTTAGTGTACCCTGCAGCCAGCCAGGTTCGTGGGAGTAACGAACTGAAAGCAGAGAAATCACGAATAGGGAACGAATTCTCCACAGTTTCCAAATGCGTTCACACTCACCATTGGTTATTATTTGGTTGGGCTCGAAAGAAAGCTCACCCTCGCTTTCTCCCATGCAAGCATAAAGTGTGCGCACACGACTGTAAATAAGAGGTTTTGGCGATTAAGGTGCAATTAGAACCAATTAATGGTATACTCACGCCGTGCCCGTTGACAAATCACGTTTTATTTGGTTGATGTCACGATTACGATGCATTTTGCTAGGCGGATATTCGGTGCTTTCGTTGGCGGTGCCCCCACAGCTGAGGCTGACCGGGGGCAATGTTGTGGCCGTGACGACCTCGTCGCAGGTGGGTCCAAGATGCGGCGACAGCGATGAATTCTGTGACGTTATCAGCGCATAATCATTGGTGTTGCGTGTGCTTAAGTGCTGAGCCACACTCCCGCTGTTGCTATTGGCCACAATGGAGCTGCCCAAGCCGTTATTGGAAGAAAGTGAATCACATACGCTGTCGTTGGAGCTGGATGTGGATGTTGGCATTAGGGGTGAATAATGTTTTGTCTGTCCGTACGAGTGCAGTCCCCGTTGAACGGGCGGATGCTGCTGTGGACCACTGGCACTGCCCAGGAATCGCTCCTTGCGCATTGCAGTATTTGGCGGGGATACATTGCTTACACTAATCCGATTGCTTGAGGTAGCACCAGCACTAGACGTGTTCGTATATATGTGACTACTGGAGCCCGACTGAGTCACTGGATTGGCCGTGGTCATCAGGTACTCGGGATGTCGAAAATTACTAACCGGTACGGCGTGATGCGATTGTAACGTCACACCGCCGTTGTTAGCACCTATAATACCATAATCGGGCGCGACATCAGTGTCGGTGCATGAGCTGGGCACATAACGCCGTGCGCTGGTCTCATTTTTCGATATTGTGTGCAGATTATTGATGCTCCCAATGGTCGGCGAGAGTATCCCATTCAGCATGTGCATCGGCGGCGACAGAGATATGCATTGAGCACCGCCCGAACTATTCATGGCGGTCGATCCATGACCGTAGTTGTCGCCATTCGGAATATTTTGCAGGCTGGACGACATGGTGGGCTCTGTGCAGTTGGTTTTGCTGACTACCCGATAGATTTTCTGCTGGTTCAAGAACATTGGATTCCCCGCAGTGTTACTGCTACCCATTGCACCCGTTGAAGCGGCCTTGCCGATTTGAGAGGCCCGTGGCATTCTGGTCGGTGGACTGCTGCGACTGGGGTACATGATGCTGGGTGCCTTTGTGGCGTCCGGCAACTTGACATCAGCGCTGGGCTTGTTCTTGAATATCCTCTCGTAGTTATCAATTAGAATGTTGATGACGATATTATTAAACTTAATATCCAATATGGCGGCAACCGATTCCTCTCGCGGACGCAACAAAGTTGGTCCGAAGACCACTCCAAGATTAAATACGGACATTTTGTTCTTCTCGTACTTGCGCGAAACGCTGCAAATATAAAGATGTATTGTTAACTTACACAACTTATCAAAAGTCAAAGCGAAATAGATTACTTACTCGGTTAGATGACAAATAACCATGTCTAGCATCTGAAAATTGGGTTGCGGCAACTTGTAGACCAGTTTGTGCACCTCATTCACGCGCTGATTGAGGGTTTCTTGCTCTAAAAATATTCATTGCCCATTTAGACTATGTACATGATTGATTGTGCGAGTGCAAATACTTACTTGCGGCTTCAATGAAATCACTATGGTATTGATACGTCATCAATGGCTCATTTAGGTTTCGCAGATACATTTTCAGGGCACTAGCTATGGTGTTGCTTTCCATTAAATCACGGTACTTGTCGTCGACGAAGACATCGTCGGTTTCCTTTTGATTTAGGCCCAGTGCCAGCAGCTTACTGATTTTGGTTCCAACACCACTTTTTCGGTAGATACCTTCATCCTCCAGACCCCGAATCTCTAATACTTGAATGCATCTGCGGATGAACATGAATCCGGCTTCATCCAGATGATATGCCTCGCTGACTTTGATTTTGCCGGGTGCCAAATATGTCTGTGTAGGAATAGAACGATTAAAATTAAAACAGTGACCTGTGATTTACTTTTTAATACTTACCGGCTCCGTACCGTCCATGGCGCTAATCCAATAGCGATGATCCTTTTCGCTTAAAGCTTGAAATGTGTAAACGACGCCTGGCTTCTCCTTGAAAGTCAAATCGAAGCAGAACCTCTTCTCGAACTCAGATGCCCGTCGCTGGCAGGAGAACAGCGTTAGTTTCTCGTCGTCACGTGCCTCGGGTCTCGTGAAATTGTGATTCATCTGATTGAACTGGAGCATCGTGAATTCCCGCTTTTGCTTCTTGAATGTGCAATAGTATTTCGTCCAGGTGGCTTTGAATGGCTCTAAAAGGGAGATTTTCAGAATGGAACCTATGATTCGTTCGCAATGAGTTAATTAGTTGAATGCAGCGAATTTCGTTATTATTACATTGTTTGCTAGGAAGATAGGCGCAAAGACTACAAGAATTATAAAGATAAATTCTTTACATATTATTATCAATTGGCTATCAATAATTATTATCGGTTCAACAGCCCGGATAATCAAAATGATAACTGTATTAATAAATAAAAAATCTCTGCAAACAAGGCAGTTCTTGACCAGAAAATAAATTAAGCTTTTGAATGTGATTATAGCTAAAGCACGTACTTTTCTCCATTAGAAATAGGTAACCACGTTTTGTAAAAATTTCCTCGGGCTTCTGTTAACATAAACTATTAGATAATGATCCAAATGCTATACAATGTATCAACTTACTGTGCGTTTTTCCATATACTTCGTTTTCAGTTCAGTCACTTTTTCGCGTGCCTCCTCGAAATTTTCCCGAGTCTGCAAGTAATGGGGAGCGTTAGTTTTGGATATCACCACGTACAACGATTGTTTGCCTACTTTTTGGACTTTGTGCCTCAAATCCTGCAGATAATCGCGATGATCCTCCGCCTGTTCGTGCGCTGTGTGGTAAAAAACCAGCCAGCCAGAAATAAATGCGAGCAATATTTCGACAAATTCGAATTTGATTCGTTCCTGCACTTCTTGGATGCGCAACACATAGCTCAGCGACTCCTGGATATACTCGCGTTCATGCATCCCCAAACTGGCGTCAGCCTACAAAGAAATCAAATTAACTAATATTAATACCATTATTTGGATACTAGGAAACCGAATGAATAATGTAATAGCACAAGTTACTTTCTTTCGATCATAGTATACTATGGGAGCAATTTAGCAATTCAGAATAACTTACCTCCTGTATTGTGTTTTCGGGCTTTTTAGTTGACATATTGAGGAAACGCTCCTGCGATTGACAGAATTTCTCCGTCTTTTTATCAAATTTCTTTTTGTTTTCTTTGACGCCACCGATTTGCTTTTTTCGAAAATCCTCCAGTGACTCAATAATATGTTTATCGGCGAGCGTTAACTAGGTAATAGTAATAGATAGCAGATTGTTCAGATTCTAAACAAATTTGGAAGCCAATATGCCCAGCAACTTACCATTTTTTCGCGCTCATCCTCAATATTGCCAATTATAGCACCAAATCGCTTGAGGCTTTCACAAATGACATTCTCATCGTCGGTCTGAGCTGTGCCAATGCACTCAAAGTTAAAGTCGTTAAGTAAAATGGCCAATTGTTTCATTCTAGTGGACAGCACTGAAAGAGTATTAAATGCAATTTGGTAAACCAATGAAATAAAAATGAAATCTACTAGCCCAAGACAGCTTGTCCTCACTCCTCACATGTTACTTGTCACCTCATCTACATAGCATATTATATTATACAAAAAATATTTCATAGAATACAAAATATGTATAAAACGAGCGCCTATTTGCCCAGGATTGCAAGGCAACGCAAGCCTCATCCTGTTCCACAAAAGTAAGTTGACGAATTCCCTATTCCCGATTCCCAACTGCCATAATCAATTCAACAACATTGTGGCACTCGACAGGCTTCGTAGGACTGAACAGGAATTTCTGAACTTTGCAAATAGTATACCAGAAGTTGAGGATGAAACAAAGGGGCAGTTCGTCATAATGGACCATGATGTGCCGCCAACTGAACGACTGATGAAGAGTATTCAGGACAACGAGTGTCCGGATGTCATGGTCACCGTTAACGATCGCATGTTCCTGTGCCACAGGATCATATTGTGCATTTACTCAAAGCGAATGCTGAAGCTATTGATACACAAAGTTACGAATATTGTGTTCGACTCGAAAGATCTGACCGCGAAGGCATTCAGCGATGCATACCAATGGATGATCTCCCGGGATGGCATACTGAATGTGTGCGATATGGTCGACATTATGAAAGCCGCTTACTTCCTGGACATGCCCGAGCTGCTCGAGGCTTGTTGGAAAACCCTGGAAAGCCATGCTTTCGACGAGTTCTCTGCATTTCGCCTCATGTATGAGGCGCGTGGCGCCAACAACCTGTCGGAAATATTCGATAAGCTGGCGGAACGCCTCTCCCGGGCAACCTTGCCAGCGGTGAGCAGTCGGGAGTTCCTCAGCCTCAGCGAAATGCAAATTTGCTCCCTACTGAAGTCCAGCAGTCTGCAAGTCAACTCGGAAATGGAGGCAAGTCCATTCATCTAGCTATGTGTTGAAAACTGCGATGTTTCCTAACTTTAACTCACAGCTCCTATATGCCGCCTTGATGTGGCTATCGTATTACTGGCCACAGCGCCGTTCAAGCACCAATGAGGTATTGAAACACATCCGCTTTGGCTACCTGCCGCCCACCATGCTGAGCAAGTTCAAGACACAGGAACGCTACAAGGTGGGTAACTTTGGTGAAATTCTGGAGGAGTTTAGCAAGTCGCCCGATGTTAACCAACTTGTGCGGGACGGAATGTTTGACAGCACTTTGATCATAGCCGCCTACAACGATCCGGGTGTCCTCGAGGAGAACGTGGAGTTCAAGCAGGTGAAGCTGATGGATCCACGCTGTTGGATACGGGATCGGCGCTGTGAATACCACCGGGACGTGACCACGCTGTGTCCAAATATGCGTTTCGTAACTCTAATCGAATTCCAAAAGTACCTGAAGAGCCTGTCGATGGCACGACCCGATTTTGACCGATTTTTCGAGTATCCCGGTCAGAAGCGAAATGAAAAACTAGATTCTGATCGGGAAACGAAGCGGGAAATCAATAAGATGATGCTCTTGAAAAGGGTGGTTGGCATGGATGCGGATGTGGATAGGTATATCGAACGTATTAAGAACAAACGCAATCCAAAACAATGAAAAACTCAGATGTTGCGGGCATAGGGCCTGCTTCTACAAAACGTGAAATTCTCAAGTTGAAATTAGTTATAAATCATTATTGTTTACTTTAATACCATGCGTATTTCGCTTTACCCCTGCCAAACTAGCTTATATGATTTGCACTTACTCTTTGCCGCACTCATAAGATCTTTGACCTCTTTGATAATTCGTTTTATTTGATGACTAGTGTGGTCCAGTTCCTTTTCATGTCGATTTAAATTTTCGCGAAAGTCCGGACTGTCGACGATGCATTCTTCGAACTCCAGAGGCTCCAAGCCGCGGCGTACATTTTTGCCGCCGCCCATGATGTTTGCTTTTGCTTTTAATAATATTGAAGATTTGCTGCGTTTCTTGTTTTAGTTTTATTTAGGTTACTTCGGGGCCAATTCCACAGAGTTAAGTTCATTCGCAGTGGCTGATATATTGTGTATATTTGTCGGGCGGGTAAACTGTAGTGTTTGCAACATTTACAGCTGGAATTACTCCTTTTAAATATTTACTTATCAATGCAAATACTGTTTATCAGTTGGCGGATGATGCATATTGGTAATCCTTCCTGCAAATACAACTCATATAAGATGTGTTTTTTAAACAGCAAGTAAAGTTAAACTGTGAGGAACCGTGATTCGTGTATTCCCCCTTGTTTTTCTCTTATCAACTCAGCATTTAAGAACTTCAGTTCTTTCTTTTAGTGATCCATTGCCTTTCGCGGATTTACTTGCCACAAAATAGGAATAATAGTACATCGAGGTCACCAGAATATGAATTAATAGCCTCAATTAACTAATAACTAGCAGATGATGCCCCTTATGTACTCACAGAGCTCTTGAGTTTGTGGTTACTGCGAGATACGATGCATTTTGATTTCAGGGCGGTACCCATTCGATAAACTCTAAACTGTGAAATTCCGACCCAGAAGGGAAGCTAATGAGATTATATAAAAGGATAAATGGGACGATGAGCCACGATGAAAAATGGCCAGTCAACGCCCAACTTTCATCAAGAACGGACTATTGTTAATTTCTTATCGTCTGTGTACCGAGAAAGACACACACTCTAGTAAGTGTCTTATCTTTAGCAAGCATATATACAAGCGTTTACCAAAAACAAGTTTAAATACACTTGCGAACACTTTCCTATTACAATGAAACCAGCCACAAGCTGATAAGTCGTCGCCATTACATAAATGCAAAACCGACTTTGCAATTGGAAATCATGTTCGATAAAAATTGCGAAAGTCTTGGAAAATACTTGGAAAGTACACTTTGAATGCTTTTTATTTATGGGTATATTAACTCATAAAACTGCTAACACACGCCATTTTCCTACATACAGACATATACGACAAACACGATGTCGTATATGTCTTTCTTATCAGATCTTAACTTAGATAGACGCAGGCACATAGAAATAACCCCCTTATCAATAAATATGTTAAACAAATTTTAGTGCCTTTGAAGACCCAAATTATCAAGAAGGCAATATATACAGACCAACTAAAAAAAACACAAAACATTTCCCTTTTACGCAATTATAATCTTTCCATTCTAAAAGCCAAAGAACATTTGTTATTAGGTAATACTAATCAACTGCTATATGATCGAAACAATGCAATATATGTAATTTATATTAAAGTCGAGCCCAGAAAGTGCAATTCAAGATCATGGGAAATTTTGTTGGCGAATTTCCACTGATGGAATGCGCAACGAGTAAAAACACAGCTGTTGCTATGTATTTTCGCTAGTTATACCTTAATACCTGTTGAATATGAAATTATGCTGGATTTTTGGGGCTTAAAAAACAGTTGAACATTCCGCGTTTTAAATTATCTTATCGGTTTTTTGTAGTTAAGCCCGCTTTAAGTTGTTGCATGCACGTATGTCTGTATGTACATGCATACAGATTATATGCGTACATACAGATGTGCACCGCCTGTACTCGTATGTTGTGCACATTTGTTATTTAAAAATAACTTTAGTTTATTTTCGCTAATGATAAATAACTTATTTGTACACTTTACAACACTATATGCATAAGAATGTGTTAAAGGGAGGGGTAGGCGTGAGTTTTTTTTTTTTTTATTTTCTTCTTTTTTTGCATAAACTTGTTAAATTTCGATGTACATATGTAAACATTCGATCTGAAAACAGGTTGCGAGGCCACTAACACCATAATTTTGATATCGGACATGCCCCTGGGATGAAAATCAACTGCAGCACTAAATCCTTTGTTTATTTCGCATGCATGTAGTTGTTTAAAAAACTAAATAATATATATATATCAGCATACATATACGTAGATACACACCAGCACACATACATACGCAATGCAATGGAATCACAAATAAATAAATCAAATCCTTATAAACGAATCGTTGATGGGGTCATGTTTAGACACTTTTCATATGACTTTAGCCCATTGGAATTCACTTGTACAAAAATAAATGCTCTTAGTTACGAAAGGCAACCGTCGGTAGTTTTTCGCGTACCGCAACCGCACACACATTTGTGCCCGTGTTAAAATTACTCACAGAGTAAACATTAGTGTATGAGTAATTTCCCAATATCTAATGTTGCTCTGGTCGAAGAACGCAAATTGGCCGTGCCGTGTCGCGCGTTTCGCATCAATTACGCGATATTATTCAGCATCAATTGCATATTTTATTTCATTGTATTCTAAATGCACCACAATATATATATATTACTTTGGCTGTTAAATCTCCGATTAGAAAAAAAAAATTAATGTAGGTCTGATAAAAATACACAAGTTATCTGAACGTGCTGTTAAGTATATTAAATGGGCTGTTAAGCGCATCAAATACCCTGTTTCCACCGCGGCACTTACATTTGGGGCAGAGTATATAAGCTTTTGCCGTGCCATCTACGTCTCATCCGTTCCAACAACCACCTGTTACTGACTTGAGCATTCACAGGCATATTTTAAACGTTCGTTACCAGGCATAGCTTAACATGAATTGTAATTCATCTGATTTGTTAATGTCCTTGCTACGTAGAGAGTGGTAAAATCCCTGCATAACTTTATTATGGAACAATATATATACCTGCAAGCGAAATATATTTCCTAAAAAACGACATGTTCCAAAATTCTTGATTAATATTATAAGATAATCTTAGCTAAGAGAAATAATTTCATAAAAGCTTAAAAAAATAAACAATCTTCTATCATTTAAAATACATGTTTCGAAAATCGAAGTCTTACACCAAGTTTCAACTATTCCAATGGGAATACGTTATAAAAGTATGCGCAATCGAAACAGACCAGAAATAGTCGATGGTCAAGCATCCGTGCCCCAATTATCGATGCTATCGATACTGTCGCCGATGTTTTGACAGCTCTTTTGGTTAGTCCGTACCGGCTCGTTTTTATGCATTGTTAAAATATATTATATAAGTATGATGCGGAGCGTTATTAATCAATTCCTGGGTCTGAGGTGGGTACAAATATCGTTGCTAAAAAGGCCATTTAGTGAATAACTGGCTTCTTCACTCAGGCTCAGTGGCAACTGCAGTGTTATGGTTACGCAGGTGCGCGATAAGGGCCATTTGAGCAGACCTCGACTGCGGAATCCCCAATGGTTTTTGCGCAAGGAAATCACAGTATGTGGTATATATCATTTTATCTATAAACAAATTACTTAAATGGGTTTCATTGCAACAGAAATACAACGATTTAATGACGGCGGAGAACAAACAGTTCATCAATGAAGTGGGCACCGATAACTTTGGCGTTCCGGCAGTTAAGAAAGATAACTTGGTCAAGACCGCAGAGCCATCCGCCAACGAGGCCGTATGGACTCCGAATTTGAGGAGGTGCGGCGTTATAGCGCGCAAAATCGGCCAGTATCCACTGTGGCTTAAGAATGGCGAGCGGATTCGCACCACGTTGCTGCAAATTGCCGACAACCATGTCATCAAATACATTCCTCCGGAAGAGTATTTACCTGCCCAAGTTCCCAAGATCGCCAACCTGCACAAGCGGGGTTGTATTCTCGTTGGCTCTGAAACCACAAACCCAGCTCTGTTGACCAAAGAGTATGCGGGAATATTCCGAAACTCGGGCGTGCTCCCCAAGAAGAACCTGGCCCGATTCATCGTTTCTCCAGAGGCCCAACTAGAGGCAGGCACTCCACTAAGTGTCAACCACTTTCGCATTGGTGATTTTGTCGATGTTCGCGGCAAAACGTAAGAACATAACTCTTTGACAATGGATTCATAGAACCATGTATATACGCACACTACTTATTTATTGCAGAGTTGACCATGGTTTCCAAGGTGTCGTCAAGCGCCACGGTTTCAAGGGCATGCCAGCATCGCATGGTGTAACGAAAACTCATCGACGTGCCGGTAACATTGGCGGCGGTGGCGAGAAGGGCCGTGTCTGGCCAGGCACAAAGATGCCGGGACACATGGGAAATCGGTGGCGCATCATCAAGGGCTTGCGAGTGTGGCGCATTAACTCGAAATACAACGTCATGTGGGTGCAAGGTAGCTCGGTGCCCGGCCCCACCGGCGGCCTGGTCTACATATACGATACCATCTTGCCATTGCGAAAGAATAAGGAAGCCCCGCCATTCCCAACGTTTTACGGGGAGCCACAGCAAGATGGGGATGATGTATGGTATGAAAAGGTGCACAACTTCAAAAGCGAGTCTATAACGTATGAAAACGAATAACTTTAGTGCTTAAGGTATTATAGAACCCTAATTGTTTGTTTTGAAATAAAAAATAACTCATTTTATATATGAAAAGTTTTAAATTTGCGACCAATATTTGAAACTAAATCGAATAACCGTTTTATCAATAAAACGTTAGCTGGGCAAGTTTTTAATTTGTCTTATATTAAGTTGGAATCTTCTTTGGAAGCTTCTTTTGAATGTCGGGCTATTTTTCCTATTGGCGTAAACTGGTTTCACTTCCATTGTTCCGCCGCGCACGTGGGCGGGCACACTGCTTACATCGTATATCGATATATCCGCGATGTTTCAATCAGGTGTGCGGCCGCGAAGCGGTCACACTAAATTTAACTTCTAAAAAATAGTGCCGGTCTATATATTTATTTGTAAACAACTGTATTAAATATAATAAGAGCACATTTATCCAACTGGAACCATGCCAAAGGAACAGTTTCGCGCATCCGCGCTAAACAAAAAGATGTGAGTTGTGGCTTCAGCAAATTTAAATAACAGAAATTAACCAAAATGCCTTCAGTTCACACGTGCAATTCGGAATCAGCGGCGCAGATGAAATCCAGCAGGAGGCCCTGGTACGCATTATCTCGAAGAATCTGTACCAGGCCCAGCGGCAGCCGGTTCCCTATGGCGTTCTGGACCGCCGCATGGGCATTAGTACGAAGGATGCCACGTGCGAGACCTGTGGACAGGGTTTGAACGAGTGCATCGGCCACTTTGGCTACTTGGATCTGGCGCTGCCGGTATTTCACATCGGGCACTTTCGTTCCACCATCAATATCCTGCAGATGATCTGCAAGACATGTGCCCATGTTATGCTCAAGCCGGAGGACAGGCAGTTGTACGAGAAGAAGCTGCATAACCCAAACTTCTCGTATTTGGGTAAGAAGGCGCTGCATGTGCAGATGTTGGCCAAGGCCAAGAAGGTTACCAAATGCCCGCATTGTGGGTCGCCAAATGGTGGCGTTAAGAAGGGACCGGGTCTCCTAAAAATTCTCCATGATCCCTACAAGGGACGCAAAGTGGACTCGCTGTTCACGAACCACATAAACGAGTTGCTGCGCTCCACGGAGGCAAATCGTGACTTGAACTCAACGCTGGGCAACTACAGCACCGCTGAGGAGCTGACACCGCTCATGGTGCTCGACCTCTTCGAACAGATACCCCAGAGAGACGTGGCCCTGCTGGGTATGTGCTCCCACGATGCGCATCCAAAACATTTGATTGTCACCCGAGTCTTTGTGCCGCCCGCATGCATCCGTCCCTCGGTTTTGTCCGAAGTAAAGGCCGGCACCACGGAGGACGATCTAACCATGAAACAGAGTGAAATCCTCCTCATCAATGATGTAATTCAGCGTCACATGGCCACCGGAGGAAAGATTGAGCTTATACACGAGGATTGGGACTTTCTGCAACTTCATGTCGCTCTATACTTTCATAGTGAGATCAGCGGAATCCCCATTAATATGGCTCCAAAGAAAACAACGCGCGGAATTGTACAGCGATTGAAGGGAAAACAGGGACGCTTTCGTTGTAATCTATCGGGAAAGAGAGTGGATTTCAGCGGACGCACTGTGATTTCACCAGATCCCAACTTGATGATCAATCAGGTTGGCGTACCTGTCCGTGTGGCCAAGATTCTCACATACCCCGAACGCGTTAATCCAGCCAATATGCGTCACATGAGGGAACTGGTGCGCAATGGGCCAAGTATGCACCCGGGCGCCAATTATGTACAGCAGCGAGGATCGAGCTTTAAGAAGTATCTTGCCTATGGCAATCGGGAGAAGGTGGCGCAGGAGCTGAAGTGCGGCGACATCGTGGAACGTCATCTGCGCGACGGAGATATCGTGCTCTTTAACCGCCAGCCCTCACTGCACAAGATGTCCATTATGTGCCATCGCGCCAAAGTGCAGCCACAAAGAACATTCCGCTTTAATGAATGCGCCTGTACGCCATATAACGCCGATTTTGACGGCGATGAAATGAATCTACACTTGCCACAAACGGAGGAAGCCAGAGCCGAAGCACTCATTCTGATGGGCAACCAGTCGAACCTGGTGACGCCGAAGAATGGTGAGATTCTGATTGCCGCAACACAGGACTTTATTACCGGTGGCTACTTGCTCACGCAAAAGGAGGTCTTTCTGACCAAAGAGGAGGCCATGCAGTTGGCCGCCTGCTTTTTGTCCAACGAAGACTCGACGATGCACATAAAGCTACCACCACCCGCTCTTCTCAAGCCGCGACGTCTGTGGACGGGCAAACAAATGTTCAGCCTGCTAATGCGTCCCAATGACGACTCCCATGTGCGCCTCAATATGGTCAACAAGGGTCGCAACTACACGCGAAACATGGATCTGTGCAGCAATGACTCCTGTGAGTAGTGATTAGTGATTACTAACTTACAAGTTACATCCTAAATGTTATATGCTCTATTGCCAGGGATTCATATACGTAATTCGGAGCTGATGTGCGGCGTCATGGATAAGGCCACCATGGGTTCTGGCACCAAGCAGTGCATCTTTTACTTGCTGCTAAGAGACTTTGGCGAATTACATGCCACCAAGGCCATGTGGAGATTGGCGAGGGTTCGTAGGACACTTTTCTTTCCTTCTACATATAGAGGATTCTTTATAATCCGATTATCTAAACGATTTCTTGAATTCTGAATCATGTGCACTCTACTTCAAACTTCCTAATCAAATTTTTGCATCATCTAATTGTCATAGATATCTATGTGCCATGGTGTAAATGCTTTTATTGAAGTCAGTGCTGCTTTCATACGGCAATGCCTGTGATCTGTGAAATGAAGCTCAGATAGGACGTAAGCCGGGCATATGCAGATGGAAAGCGGGCGGTGCATTGATCCTCAGCGACGAATGAGTTGATGCCAATTTGTTCCCATTGTTGGGTGTTTTTGTTGTATATAATGAGAGGACCGCCAGAGTCGCCGGTGCAAATGGACATGTCGCTTCCCTTGTTTCCTTTGGCACACATTGTCGAGTCCAGTATGACGAGGTTGCCAAAGACGGACTCGCACTCCTCATTGTCAATGATCTCCACTTGGGCATACAGCAGTGTTTCCGAGTAGTCCAGGTATTCATCTTGCGTAAAACCGAATCCTGCCACGGTGGCCACTCTGCCCACAAAATCGATCGATTCCTCGGACTCGCTCACCAGTTGTATGGGCTTGATGATGTCTGAGAATGCCAGTGGTACTGGCAGTTCAATAAGCGAGATATCGTTATTCAATTTGTCATTGTAGCCCGGATGGACAATAATATTTGTGGACGTCATGTTCAGGGCATTTTCGTTGAACAGCTGCACACTACCGAACATAATGAAGATGGAGTCGAAGCCATATGTGCAATGGGCCGCCGTGAGCACCCAGGAGGCCGATATGATGGAGCCACCGCAGCGTAGATCATCCCAGGCATCTCTCTTCAAGATGACTTGCCAGGGAAATTGACCCAATTCCGCATCGCTTCCTGATACTATGCGGCCTTGCTGTTGAAACAAAGCAATGGAAGTTTAAGAACCCATATACTACCAGTGACCAGCGCACCACTTACTATTTTCATCGGGGATGTGCCGTGTGGCTCAAATGGCTGGCCACAAACGGAGATAGCAGCTAGTAGAACTAGCGTCAAGGATTTCTCGGTACTCAGCGCCATGTCTTGCCTGTTCTGTGCTCCGTCGGAAGTCGACTTTAATTTCACACTTCTCAATTAAATGAGTCAAGGGACTCGATCGAGTTATCTTTTATCTCTGTATTTTGCACGAATTTTTTTAACATTGTGACTTTCTGATAAGATTAAGTGCTAACTTAACTTAGTAAATTCCACGTAGGTCGTGCTCTAACCGTAGGGAATGGTATCTCGCTAATTCCATTGTTATTAATGCCGATTTTTAATTACTTCCACGAACATGGACAAGTTTAAAAGTAATTTGTGATTATTGTTCCTGGGAACATTTACTGTCTGCCAAGTATTTTGGAAGTATTGCGTTGTTTGGCCGCATATTCGACCATTGAGGAGTACCCTTTTCAAGGGTATTATAATATCAGGCTACTCAATAATATATTCAACGTTGACTTCTATAGACAGTTGTCTTATCTGAAGGGAAATCATTTATTAACTTTTGCTGTAGCTTCATGAGTCTATACAGTTCGTCAAAAGCATTTCGCTCGCCTTCGACAGATATTGATTACCCAAAGATTATAGATAATATGCACGCGTATTAATTCGGAGACTATATTATATACATTATAATTTCATTGGAAATCGACTAAGCAGTTCAAAGTTGGAATATAGTTAACTTGGCTATAGTGTACTAATAGAAACCTCCTCTCCAGATCGCGTCCTACTTCCTGCAGAATCGCGGCTTCTCATTTGGAATCAGCGACGTCACGCCGAGCAAGAAACTTCTGCAGCACAAGGAATTGCTATTGAACAATGGCTACGCAAAGTGTAATGAGTATATTGACATGCTCAAGGCGGGAACCTTGCAGTGCCAGCCTGGTTGCACGCCCGAGGAGACTCTGGAGTCCGTCATGCTGCGGGAGCTATCGGCCATCCGAGAACAGGCAGCCAAGACATGTTTTGCCGAGCTCCATCCCACGAACAGCGCATTGATAATGGCGCTCAGCGGCTCGAAGGGCTCCAACATCAACATATCCCAGATGATCGCATGCGTGGGACAGCAAGCCATTAGTGGCAAACGGGTGCCCAATGGATTTGAGAACCGTGCATTGCCCCACTTCGAGCGGCACTGTAAGTCCAGCCAAATATATCATACATATGTGATTTAAAACAGACAATTTCCTCTTGCAGCTGCGATTCCTGCGGCCAGAGGTTTTGTGCAGAATAGTTTCTACTCCGGTTTGACACCAACGGAGTTCTTCTTCCACACAATGGCTGGTCGTGAAGGCTTGGTGGATACAGCTGTAAAGACCGCAGAGACTGGATATCTGCAGCGACGTTTGGTCAAGTGTCTCGAGGACTTGGTGGTCCATTACGACGGTACAGTGCGTAATGCTGTCAACGAAATGGTAGATACCATATACGGTGGCGATGGCTTGGATCCCGTGTCCATGGAGACGCGAAACAAGCCAGTTGATCTGGTTCATCAATATGACAATCTGCGTGCTCAGCATCCGCAGGGCAAGGATCGTCCACTTCTTGCAGAGGAATTGTCAGAGGCGTTGGAAACGCTTTTGAAGACTCCTGAGTTTTCAGAAGCCCGCGATGATTTCAAATTAGATGTTCGGTGAGTTCGCCATTCCATCAACCATTTACTCAAAGTGTTGCTCTATACATTTCACTTCGCATTGCAGGAACCACATCAACACAGTGTCCAAGCGCATTGGGCAATTGCAGAAACGCTACGAGAAGTATATCAACCTATGCCACCAGATTGAGTGCCTCACCGCCGAGCAGCTGCTGCAGTTTGTACGCCGGATAAATGATCGATACAATCGAGCTGTCACCGAGCCTGGCACAGCGGTAGGAGCTATTGCTGCGCAGAGTATTGGGGAGCCGGGCACCCAGATGACCCTGAAGACGTTCCATTTTGCTGGTGTCGCATCGATGAACATCACCCAGGGTGTACCCCGTATTGTGGAGATTATAAATGCGACTAAGACCATATCGACGCCAATCATAACTGCCGAATTGGAGAATTGCCACAGCATGGAATTTGCACGGCAAGTCAAAGCGCGCATTGAGAAAACCACATTGGCTGAGTTGTCTTCATATGTCGAAGTCGTATGCGGGCCATACAGCTGCTACCTGGCGATCGGAATCGATATGGCCAGAATCAAACTTCTCGGCCTTCACATAGACCTGGACACAATTGTTTTCAGCATACTAAAGTCGCGCATGCGCGTCAAGCCGACGCAAGTGGAGGCTGTGGCCAGCCATTCGCGCATCGTGGTTCGGGTGGAAGCCACTCGGACGTCGACCATAAATGCAGAGCTGGCGCGCTTGGCCCTCAGTCTGCAGAACGTCGTTGTGGCGGGCCTGCCGAACATTAATCGTGCAGTCATTGCTGTCGATGATGCGCGGCAGCCTCCCACATATAAGCTGTGCATCGAGGGTTATGGACTGCGCGATGTCATCGCCACGTATGGTGTGGTGGGCAAACGCACTAGGAGTAACAATATTTGCGAAATATATCAGACGCTGGGCATTGAAGCTGCCCGAACCATCATTATGAGCGAGATCACAGAGGTGATGGAGGGACACGGTATGAGTGTCGATTGGCGCCACATCATGCTGCTGGCCAGCCAAATGACGGCACGTGGTGAAGTGTTGGGTATCACTCGACACGGCTTGGCCAAAATGCGCGAAAGTGTATTTAATTTGGCATCGGTAAGGGAACTTTTAAATATGTCATGTCATATGTATGCTAATGTACTTACTTTGTGGTTGTTTTTTCAGTTTGAGAAGACGGCCGATCACTTGTTCGATGCGGCTTACTACGGCCAGACGGATGCCATCAATGGGGTTTCGGAACGCATTATCCTGGGAATGCCAGCAGGCATTGGTACTGGCATCTTCAAGTTGCTGCAACACCACGAGGACAAGCAGGTTCCACCCATTGAACCCACCATATGCAGTTCCCTGAATCTGGTGCCAAACAAAGCCTCATGAGAAGCGGGTCTTCTTGACGCAACACTGATATCTACTCGTAAAGGAACCTTTTGTAATTAAAATATTGTCTAGTTTTTTAATTACATTTGTAATAAAATATTAAATATTTATTCTGTCTAGTTATGTTAAAGAAATTTACGCTTATATTTTTTGAACTGCGAAAATCTATTGACGTTGCGTAGGCCAATAAAAGAAGAACAGTTTTTCTTATATTTTATTAAATAAACAACGAAATTTTTGATGCGAATAACGAAATTAATACTATTAGTAGAATCTCGAATTTGAATTAACCGCGCTGTTCACATTCCACCGTTCCACAGTTGCCTCTGCCACCGTCCGGTTCAAACTGTCTAGACATGGTCACACTGAACGTGTGTGTTTATCAAAACAACGTGTTGTTATTAAATTATGGTTTTGATATCTGACGCATTCGGCTTGGAAATATCCCCAAACGGGATACTGGTTGGTACGTATAAAGCCTAATGCATACTATGAATCCTAATGAACATCATATACACAGGCCATGGCGATCAGGCGGTGTTATACAGCTCAAAAGCCAAAGTCGAATTGCCGGTTCACCTGCGCGAGGGAAAAGTTCGCGGATTTGCGTGGAGTTCTTCGAGTAAATCGCAAAGATTATTATTGCTATATAGCGAGAACGAATATTCCCTGATTAAGTGTACCTCCAGTTCCGGAAAGGATCACTTTCAGCTCATTTACGATGGCGAAACCAGAGATTGGATTAATGCCGCCCTGTTTTTGGATGATGATAACGAATCGGAGGATCGCAAACGATTCGTTCTTCACACGTCGCATAGTGCTCTCCTTTACCTGGAATATGATCCAACTTTGAATGCAGATTGCACTGTTTTGGAGCTGGCTCGGTGCACCGACAGTTCCATACTGTATTACACTAAGCTACATGGGACTTCCTATGATAAACTGGCCATCATAAGCGGCAATGCCTTTGGAGAACTTTTGGTGTGGCAAACGCAGTTTCCCACAGAATCCGATCCAAAATCTGTAATGAAAACATATCCATTGGTCTTGCGGCTTGAAGCGCACAATGGAGTGATCCACTCAATTGAGTTTGACTTGGAGGCGCAATTATTGGTAACCACATCGGATGATCGTTCGGTCAAGTTTTGGAATATACAAAAATCTGGAGACTGGACAACAGCTGAAATCAAGCCCATGTTTAGTTGTTACGGACACAGTTCGCGTGTTATGTGCGTTGTCATACTTAAAATTGGTAAGATCTGCTATAAATACACCTGCATTTAGTAATTTTGTATAACCATACTTACAATTGCAGGTGGTCGTACATTTGTGGCCAGCGGCAGTGAGGATTCCTACGTCTGCATCTGGAGTTCTTCTGGCGAATTGGTATTAAAACGTCGTCAGCAATTCGGAGCGCCTATTTGGCGGCTAGGCTTCAGCCAGGATGCAGAAATCCTCTACAGCACCAGCTCGACGGGTAATTTGGTCGGGCAAAATCTAAAAGGAGTCCTTAATCGACCCAAAATCGAACCCACCATGCTGAGTAGTTTGGGCGATGCAAACGAGTTTGTGAGAAACCTAAAGTTTGTCAATAATGAGATAATTGTGGGTTTGAGTAGCTCAAATCGCTTGTATTACACCCGAATATCCTCAGATCCTTCTCATGAGAACAAGTGGCTCATGGTGAATGACTTTCCGTCATACAAACGCACAGTTTTAGAAGTCTTTGAGAACGTGATAGCCACCTGTGGACATCGGCGCATAACACTGCACAAGTATAACACAGATACAAATGATTTTGACCAACTGTTCGATGGCATAAGGATGAAAGGCACTATACGCTCGTTTCAATTCCTAAGCCGAGATCGCTATCTAGTGTCTGATAACTTGGGCTACTGCCTGCTATTGCAAACCCACCAGCTGCACATCGAGTCGCACATCGCTCTATTCAATAACCGCGAGCCGTGGATAACAGCGGCCCTGCTCATTTCAGAGCAATATCTATTGTTGGGCAACCGCGAGGGCCATGTCATGCTCTACTGCCGTAGCAGTGCCAAAGATGACTTCCTATTGAAGGATACAATTCGGTACTTACACGGTAAAATGGGCTCGAACTTCTTTAAATTGCTCAGTGTTAATGGGGACAATGCCCATGTGATGAGTGGTGGTCATGAGGCATTTTTAAAATATCTAAACGTAAGATTCGCAGACTCAACACTACGTGTTAGCCAACGAGAGGGCGTTCCGTTGGCTTGGGTCGAAGCAGCTCCCTCGAAGGACTTGATTTTGGGGTTCAATGACAATCACATTGTTGCCTGGTCCCGTCGAAATGATGTACTTTTGCAATTGGCCTGCGGCGGAGGTCATCGCTGCTGGGACTTTCGACTGAGTGATGGTGATAGTCTACTTTCCATAGCGTATGTCAAGCAGAAGCGTGTGTTCTTCTATAGCAATTCGCTCTACAATGCAGTTGATAATCAGATTAAGGACATACAGCCCAACACCTGGCACGTACGAAATTGCAATACTCTTCGACTCATTACGGCGAGGAATCATTCAGATCCCTTTATCCTTTCCGCTGGCGATGATAACATCATAAAAGTCACCCAAGTGACCAAGGACTCATTGTCTCAACGTGCGGAATTGCACTCCCACATCTCAACAGTGCGCAGTTTGCAGGCGCTTCCATACAAATCGGATAACGACTCAAGTACTTGGCTTGTCTTCTCCGTCGGCGGACGATCGCAATTGTGCATTAGCCAACTCAGCATAGATGCGTGCAATAAATGCTGGATAAGTGAACTATCCACCCACACACTGCACAATGCAGCATCATCTACAACGAGTACTATTGAAGCGCGATTAATGGCCATCGATGTTGTCCAGCATTCGGGTGAGGATCACTTTTCAGTATATGTGGCAGGCGGCGATGGAAATATAAGTCACTATGTCTGGGAACTTGGAAACCCCTCCCAACTGCACCTAAGACATTTTGTAGATGTACAAAGATGTCCACTTGGCATTCAGTGGATTGAGAACAAAGGAATGCTCTTGGTATCAACCACAAATGGCGAAGTCTACGTTTTTGATCGCACCCTAGGAACCACCTACGTCCAGCTTCAACTGCACGTCACTGGTATAAATACCATAGATATACACGTGGATAAGCACCTTTTGCACATTCTATCCGGCGGGGATGATGAGAACATTAAGTATACAGTACTCAACCTAGATAACAATAATGTCGAACATAAAACCGAGTACCTGGGACTTCACAATGCCCAAGTAAATGCCCTAGCAATATATTGTCCCCCCAAAAGTACCGAAGCAGCCGAAATGTTGGCCTATTCCTGCAGCATCGATAGGCAGATCTATAGAATAGATCTCAAAACCCATAAGTATAGTCGAGTTGGATATACGTGCATAGCCGACGTGAAAGGAATGCTCATGGATGCTCATCAGCGAATGTATTTCTACGGATGTGGATTGCAGATTATGAGTGGGCGATAAGTTTGTGATGTATCCTTTCAGAGTAAGTTGGACATTTGTTGTGTTGTCTAGTGTTTAGTAATAGGAAAATCGCGCAGAAAACTCCGAACTGCCTTAGCTGTCATATTTTAGATGTAACTCGAAAAGTTTGTGGCATTAGTTTTTTATTTTAAATAAATGTAAATGTAAAGTGTATGCAAATGCCTTGCCAAATTTGCGATGTATTTTGGTTGCTGGTTTGGAAGAACTTTCAAAAACAAAAAGAAAACAAGCTAGTTTTATTTCTGTCGATTGTTTTGCCTGTGATGTCGTCCTTATTTCTGCTATTCACTCGCTCCTCAAGTGATTTAAATATGAGAGACTACTCGATACGAGCACAAGCGGAAATTTTGGAGTTCAGTTGGAGCTCACTCATAGACAAAATCGGCGAGAGACGCGTTAAAATGGCAAATAAGCAGCGAAAGTAAGTAGAACACTGTAATTACAATACCACTCATAACTTTCAATTCATTTCACTTTATTTCCGCTACTTTCAGTTTCACAACAAACGTATTCATACCGGACATTCAAGTGGCATTCGCACCCAACTCAAGTGCTGCGTTGCGGAAACTGATGAGCGACGCCTTAGGAAGACTTTCCATACCCAAAGATAAGATTGCTGACTTTGGGAACTGCAATGACATGCGCACCCACGCCGCCGCCGAACATTATTTGGCAAGTGTCTGCTTCCGGAATGTGGATGGGTCACTGAATGGCCTGCCTACCGTGCTGCACTTTGCGATAATTCTGCCGTCAGAGCTGCGCAACTACGAGAAGAACTGGATCGGCGACAGCTGGAAGGAAACCAGCACCCTGATGGATCGTGATGACCAGGAGGACGACGAGTTCGACGAGGATGGCTACACGGACTACATGGGGGAGGGCTTTGTGCCGCTGCAGTACCACATCAGCATGGAGTTCCTGAGAAGCACAGTTTCCAAAATGGACAAGTTACCGAAAGTCCTTATGCGTCGATTCAATGAGAATCCCAATGTGCTGCTCTCCGAAGAAATTGGAACTTCGGTCATACTGCTGGTTCTTCTGGGTTTCATGTTCCCGGTGGCCACTTCAGTTGCGGTTCGTTTAACTCCAAAACCGAAAATGTAATGTACAAAAAATCTTAAATTCAATTATCGTCCTTTTTTAGATGATCGTTGAGGAGCGCGAGCTGGGACAACGTTATGTGATGGAGATGCTCAACGCCAGCGCAACATTGCAAATGGCAGCGTGGTTCTTCAGTGTCTTCATACATTTCCTGATTACTTCTGTGCTCATCACAATTTTACTAAAGGTAAGTACTCCCAAATCCAACATGAAGACACAGATGCAGCTCGGCTTTTATAGATTGAATGGAATGGAGCGACGGCAGCTATGAATAAGTGCCCCTGGTCCATATTGCTATTCTTCCTCACCTCGTATGGATTCTCTGTGACCAGTTTGATAATACTAATGACATCGGCCATGTGCAGACTGAAAGTGGCTATGGTCATGGTACCGGTTATATGGATTCTACTGGCCCTGCCGCTTCTGCCGAAGAAGGAACTCCTGTCCGATGGACCGGATATATTTTACGGATTCGCCACCGTGTTTCTGTGCAACGTATCATTTAGTCGGGGTCTTGCAAAGATCTTTTACATCGAGGACTACACGCTGGAAGTAACCATAGGAAAGTATTTGCTGTACAAAGTCAGTAGCTCTGATTTCGGACTCTTTGTACCGATCGTTTGTTTCTATGTACAGACAATAATTTGCATCCTATTCGCGTTTTTTTTCGAAAATAACGCCTACGTTTGGCTTGCAGTTCGTATTAAGAAACTGCTGAAAAGGTCCACTGCTATAAGGCGGGTGGTGGGAAGGTTGGAACACGAAATCCCTGAAGTTAATTCATCAAAAACTCCACGTAAGGCTTGCATCGAGTTCCGTGGCGTATGGCAGAGGTATTTCAAATCGACGTTTGTGGTGCAAGACTTTACACTGAACGTGTATTCCGGTGAAGTGGTAGCTCTACTGGGCCACAACTCATCGGGAAAGAGCACCATCGTAAAGATCTTATATGGACTGATAAAGCCTACGCTTGGCGAGATCTACCTCTCCGGTTACAACATAGTCACGCAAAGAAAAGAGGCCCTGAAAAATTGCGCAATTTCCATGTCGTACAAAACCCTGTTCACCGAGTTCGTAGTGCTCGACCATCTGATGTTTTTCTCCAGGCTGCGGGGTCTCAAGAAGATTGAGGCCCAGCGAGAGGCTAAAACATTTCTCCGATATCTAAAGTTCGAGGATTGGGAAAACACTCCGGTTAGTGAACTGACCATGGGACAGAGGAGAGTGGTGCAGTTTCTATGCGCTTTCGCTGGCGGCACCCAGATTGTCGTTCTCGACAAGCCGTTCGATGGAATTGATGAGCCCCGCACCAGTTTGTTCTACAGTTTCATACTGAATCAAAAGGAGAACCGGTCCATTTTCTTCACCTCCAATAGTCAAAAAGTGGCCACCGTAATCGCCGATCGGATTTTCGTTCTTTCCAAGGGCAATCTCCAGGCATTTGGGACTGAAAAGAGGCTGTGCAGGACTTTGAACGAGGCCTATCGCTTGGTAAGTCCTGCCTGGGATTAGACATATTTCGTTTCATATTTCGCTTATGTATTCGAACAGATTCTTTTCGGCAACGAGAACTGCAATATCCAGGAGGTGCACCTGTTCCTGGCGAACTTTATACCGGAAATTGAGATGGACTCCACCTTGGGTGACTCCGCATCCTTCGTTGTCAAGCACAGAAACCATACCGAACTTATTCAGTTGATCGACAACCTGACCAGATTCAAAAATGAACTAAACGTATACAGCTTCGAAATTCATCAGTGCAGCATTGACGACATTTTAATCAGCTTGTACACGCGTGAGAAAAAGTCGAGTCTTGGCTTTGAAGAGTCCAGATTCCAAACATTTGCAGCGAGCAGGCTGACCGCAAAGAGGAGATTTGTAACCCCGATCCTGCATTTTCTGGAGGAGATTCGGCAGCTGCTGACCGCCGATACCCGAAACTGGTTTCTACCACTTCTGAAACTGACGCTGCCATCGATTGTGGTTGCCTGGACACTAAGTATGCCATATTTCTGGTACAACTGCCGGCAACCAGGACACATTGCCTTTCCCATGTCCGATCACAGAAATGGCATCATACTATTGCAAAAGAGTTCCCTACAAGGGGAACTACTAGCGGCAAGTGAGGAGTATGCCAAAGTGGGGGTCACAGTGGTGGAGAAGGCGGTTGATTTGACGACCTATATCTATGACTACGAATATGACAACAGTTTGTTGTCGGACTTGGATATTCTGGAGGCGGCCATATTCTCAGATGGCCAGATCGGGGTGCTCTTCAATGCGAAGTGGCCGCACACAGCTCCAGATAGCTTGGCTCGGGCTATGAACTCGCTGGCAGTGTATGTTCTGCGGTATATCATATCAAATATATTGTTTTTATTCGCATATGCGTCTATTTTCAGTGCCTTCATCGGTGCCGAGTCGGGCATAAGGGTGGAACTGGAAGTGCTGCCCTTCGCGACCATCCACACGCTGCAACTGCATCTGAATATCGATGGATACGACCTGATATTCGCCAGCTGCCTGAGCTTCTGCTTCTGCTTCATCTGGAGCATACCCCTGCTCTACATGACCCTGAGCAAGGCCGGTCGCTACAACTACGTGGAACTGATTGCCGGCATGCGGACTATCGTACTGATCCTGGCCTTCCTGACATACGATCTGTTGATGGTGCTCTTCGCCCTGCTACCCATAAACATAGCCGTCATATTCTTTCACTGGGACTTGCTAATGGATGCCAACATTCACAGTAGGTTTTATGCGACGATATGCATGGTTATGCATGGTTATTTCTAATTTGATCTGTGATATTGCAGTGTACAGTGTCTATGTCATGTTCATTATTGCTGTGTGTGTGTTCAGCTTGAATTTCTTGATATCCATCTTGCCGATCTCGGATATGCCATTCGTGTATCTAAAGGTGCTCATTGTGTACTCATTGGGCATCTTGGTCTACATAGCAGTGAATGAACTGCGGCCATTTACGGATCCCAACAAGGCCTATTTCCTTTTGCTGGACTTCCATCCGTTCTATGCCCTCTTGCACAACCTCATGCGCATTGCCAGCATTTCCGAGAAGATTTGGCTCTGCAGCGATCGGCAAATTTATGAGACTAGTGTTCATGCGGACCAGTGCCTCACGATTCCCAATTGTTGTGGTAAGGCATCAACTACTGTTCGTTCACCTGGTAACCTAGGGTTCCTTTATAAATATAAATATATTTCAATTACCCATAGATGCCGATGCACGGAAGTTCTACTACTTCCGATACCTGTGCTGTGTGTATATCCTGATTGTCGTGGTGTGGATCGCGATTTTCTTAGTCCTCAAATCGCATATGGTGAAGCGAAGGCCACGACAAGCGAAGTATTTTTGGGATAGTGAGTGAGTTGCTGTGCCTCTCGATCTTGAATGTCGAACTAAATGTTGGTGTTTCCAAAGTCCGGATAGCAAATACGACCAGAACATCCTGCACATTATGGAGCCCAACGAGCTGGAGAACACCTGGATCCTGGAAAAATCGCGTGTTAGCACCCTCGAACGCAACTACATAGAATCAAAAGCTCTGCATGTGGAGCATTTGAGCGTGTTCTTTGGCCTGAGAGCCGCAATCAAGCACATCGACATCATGGTCAATCGGTAATGATATGTTCGAAATGTCTTGCCCTCATTCGGCCCACTAAATAATGTCTATATCACTTTAGCTATCAGGTCTTGAGCGTTTTTGGCGCCAACGGAACCGGGAAAACTGTGCTGTTGAAGGCGATCCTCGGAATTTACACTCCCAGTTCGGGACGCATAATCACCTCCAACAAGGTGCCATTCAAGTCGGAAGGCTCGGAAGCCTGCCATATGATGGGTTACAGTGCCCAGGAATTTCCAGTGAGGCGATCGATGACCATATTGGAGACGTGGGTCCTCGTACTGCGCATTCGACGCTCCAAGAGGTTTTCCTTTAGGAAGGAGGCCACGGAATTGTGCAAGATCTTCGGGCTGTACAAGTATCGCTACAACTCGCTTTCCATCTGCAGTCAGGGCGTACTGAAAAGACTGAGCATCGGCATAGCCCTCATAAGCGATGCCGAACTCATTTTGCTGGACGATCCCTTTACCCATCTGGACCTTATGTCGCAGCGCAACATGCTGCACATCATCCACGATCTGCGCAGGCGTGGCCACACTGTGATCTATACCTGCAACGACACCGAGTTCTCCACGCCCGCGCTCCGAATGGCTACCTTGAGCTATTCAGGAATCACAGTGATTGGCGAGCGCGAGGAGCTACAGCAGAACTACTACTCATCGTACTACATGGTGGAGTCGAGAATCCACTTGGTCGAGATGGGCAGTCCCATTGATTTCGATTCGCAATCGACGGAAGCGAATGAGGACATTGTGGTGGCCACTTGGGAGATATTTCGGCATAAGCATCAGGAGCTCTCCACGGCTTGCAATGACAACGAGGATAGATGGAAGTACCTAAAGCTGTGCGGACTCATCGAAAAAATATTTCCACATGCCATTATCAAGTGAGGCACTTCCCAGGAACGCATCCATTTCCATTCTAATCCCCTTTTATCCCTTCAGGAATGTTAGTTTTCCCAAGGTCTGCTTCTGGCTGTCCAGTCACATGTACCCCATGTCAAAGATCGTCGATGCCCTGCATCGTAACAATCACATTTTCTATTCCTTCTCAGTGTCTCAGCCATCAGTAAACTCAGTGTTCCTTAGCATTGCTACGCAGAAAATACCCAAGGATACATTTACCTTCTAAGCGTTATATGTAAGGAGGAAGTCTCAACGTAATTAGGTGAAGAATGATGAAAGAAGTGGTTTTGTTTGGGGTTTCAAGTCAAGTTTCGTATTTTTATACTACGGATTTGATAGCTAAGACACCGTGAGAAATCGTTGAGTATAATAAGTTCGCCCACATATATATTTCCTCTGTACAAAACTGTTATCAAATGTAAAACATCCAAGTGCAATAATTTCGAGAAAGTTGTGCTGCATTGTCCAAAATAGCAGACACTGATAAAAGACATTATATATATATATTCCCTGCCAATTTCCTAATGGTTTCATTTGCGATAAACGCTAGTACCGCTAGCACGCGCGAAAAGTGTTTGTGCAAGCCGTGTTTTCTTCACAAGAAGTGGACGTTAACCATGTAACCGTCTGCCAATGGCGATAAGAAGGCGCCTCCGACTATAAAAGCGAGTCTATGCTAAAGTTGTCTCGTTATTTAAGCAAAACCTCCAAGCTGGTTTACCAATATGAAAGTTTGTACGTTGAAAATGAACTATATCTATAGCCTTTGCACCTCACCGCACACCATCTTATAATAGGATACAGACCTCTGCATTGGATTAGCTGATAACCATCAATCAATGGGCATCAACAGCAAAGGATATTTGGGTATTCCGAAGATGGGGCCATATATACAAGTATATACCCTATGTGGATAATGTCTGTCTTGTAAAAATGTCCCACGATAGAGCTTTCCTTTCAAGCTAAGATTATTGTAAATCCATATTAAGACTTTTGCATATTTTTCCGTCTTTAGGGAATGCACTCCATCTGTTTCTGGTGATCCTACTGTCCTCGGCGGTGCCATTGATGGAAGCATTGAGCATCACCGTTTGTGCGGATCGCTTCATTGGCATCTCGTTTGCTGATCCGACCAGTTGCTCCAGCTTCTATGTGTGCCTGCGTGGAAATGCCATCCGGCGGGAGTGCTCCAGTGGTCTGTACTACGATCCAAAGATCCAGACCTGCAATCTGCCCGGACTAATCAAATGTTTCAACGGGGATCGTGGCGTCGCTTTACTGGGAGAAGTCAAACCAGAAGCCAAACCTGAATCACAATCATATATCAAACCTGATATAATGGCCAAGGAGGAGGTCACCACGACCACCAGTCCACCGACGACGACAGTGACAACCAAAAAACCGAAAATTGATGCAAATGATACCGATACAACTGTATCCCAGCCCATTGACATATTTGAAGATACACCGTATCGACCCAATATCAAAATCGATGTTTTGAGATTCGCGCGCGATTGCCGTGGAATAACCGATGGGGAGTACTTGACCGACCCCAGACATTGCCGACGTTACTATATATGCCATAAAAATCGGCCCAAGCGCCACAATTGCCCCCGGAATCAGTGGTTCGATCGGGAGACCAAAACCTGCCAAGAGCAGGAGAAGGTACTGAATTGCCCAACGAATCGGAATTAGCTGTTGAATAATCTCGGTGCCCAAAATATTATTTGCATATGTAGAAATGATTAGAATTATAAAACCATTGGTAAACAATGCAGCAAGAAAAACATGTTTTTAATTTTAAGTTAGAAACTTTGTAAACAGGGTACGAAATATATGTGTGATAGATTTTAACTAATGTATTAAGTTTTCTATTGCATTTGAAGTTTCCTATATAAAGCCAATTATATATTGTTACTGTTAAATTAGCAAAAGAGTCAATTCAATTGCATTTTTGATTCCGTCATTGCCTTTTCCCAATCCAAGTGGGCAAAACCGAATTTTCAAACTATATTTTGAACCTGAAAGAAGGAATTACAACCAAAAATTTGGAACAACATATGTGTGTGCAGCTCAAGATACACATCTCATCTCAATCAAGCCATGTGTGCGTCGTCTTCATGCATCTTCTGGGGTTCGGTATCGGACATGGCCGACGGTGGCATTATCCTGCCCTCTCCGAGGGCATCGTGATTCTTCTCACCGCCGGCTGGCAGGTTGAGGGGCAGATTCAGTTCGCCCAGGAAGCAGGTGAAGTTCACCACACGACCCTTGTTCAGGAAGGGGATCTTGGGGCACAGCTCGAAGGCGTGGTTCACGGGCAGCATGTTGCATCCCTTGCCGCAGGATACGTCGATGAAGTTCATCAGATCGCACACCTCGATGTCATCGCACTCGTTCCGATTCAAAATCGAGAGTATATTGTCGATCAGTTCCAGGGAGAATGGGAGACGACAGCCCCGCAGTGCCGACCTCACCTTGGATTCGGGCAGGAATGGCTGGTTGGTCGGGTTGATGTGATGGAAGTGCTCCATCAGATCATCCCGAGCATTCCACAGGGCTTTCTTTAGCTCCAGATGCGCCGCCGCCCGCACGGTGGATCGGTCGCAGGCATTTGGTTGACTCTTCTCCGCCGAAAAGTGGCGGCAGAGACTGATGATCTCATGATCACTGATCTGGTTACCCATAATGCCGATCAGGGCGCCCTTGAAGCTCTCGAAGGACACAAAGACATTCCTCTTCTTCTCCAGATCCGTACAATCCGGAACACACGATCCCACAAACTCCGTCATGTGATTCTGCAGGGCAACTTTCACCTTTTCCATAATGACACCCACATTTGCATGGGTAAAGCTCTCCTGATGGTGCTCCATGTACATGAGGGTGTACTCATCCGCCGAGACTATGTGAAAGATGAAGTCCTTCAGCGACATGGTCGATCCGATAAAGAAGTTCCAGGGCATATAGTATTGCGGCTGCTTGCAGGAGAATTTCTCCTGTCCAGGCAACTCCAAGCGCGTGCGCTTCATGAATTCGCCACCAAGGAATCCGGAGTTCCGCACGGCGATCTCCTGGATCTGCAGCGTATCATCACATAGATAGTAGCTAATCACGAAGATTCGCTCGCAATTCGCCTTGATGGTCGAGAGCATTTTGGCCCCAAAGCGGAGCACATAACGATCGTATTTGATGAACTTCTTGAAGTCGCTCTTTGGCGGCTTCGGTTCCACCGATATGCAATTGCCCACCGAATCCTCGTAGCTTCCCCAACCATTGTAAGGTGGCAGTTGTCGTTCGGGTCTATGATCGGCACAATCATCGGATCTGGCGGGGATTGGCAGTGGGGTAAAGTCCTGTATCCCATATCGCTGGCGGTAGTAGTTCTGGGTGAAGGGATCCAGTTCGGTTATCACCACCGCACGACCATAAACGTTTATCACACTGCCTATCTGCAGATCCTTTTCCCTGTAGTAATGGATATCCTTGTTTCCGGTGTTCAGTGGATCCACGCAGTAGCGTACGTTGCGCATGTTGGTGCCCAGGACATTAAGTAGCGTCGTCGGAGTCATCTGGCCTGGCAGCTGGAGCCCTTCAAATTCCTAGAAAACATATCACAATATTCATAAAGTACGATATTTGCCAACGGATTCCCCATCAAGATGTGCCCAAAAAGCTAGCACTACTAAAAGAAAGACTGTTTTGTGCGGCTTATAAACAGAGCTCTGTTTAGAGGCCATTAATCTAATTACCCATGTAATATTCCTGCTGATTTTTGGGAATCCATTTTTTGACAAATTTTCGCATTTTCAATAAGGGTCATAAAAATCGATCATCAAAATTTACAAAAAATGGTAATAAAAAAGTTTTTTGGTTTGAATACAGATCGATGAGGAATTCTGTTTATTGTATTTCTTATAGAAAGAACACCCATTATTTTTCATTAAAAAATCTGGATAAATCTTTTGCCGAAAAAATGCAGTTTACATAGCTAATAAGCAGAACTAAACATTCTGAGCACTTTAAGCATTTTTGTTTCATTTTTATCTCTATTGTTATTACTTTGCTAATATGGTATTGCATCCTTTTTATAGTTAATCCCAGTACCATCCATACTTACCCGAGCTAACCGTCCACGTTTGAGAAAAACGGTTGGGCCGTCGCGTCCCGAGTTGCGAATGTGTTGCTCCTTGATTTCGATGGTATCATCGGAGAGGTAGTAACACAGCTCCAGCTTTCGCACATCTCCGAACTCGGTTCTATCATCCCAGTACGCCTGAAACTTGAGTATTTGCCTATCGAACTTCAGGAACTGGGCAAACGGATGGTTCTTCGGGATTAAATTACCGGATCGTGGTTGGTTTTGACGTTTTCTTTGCTCCTCGGTGGGATCGCTTTGAAAACGGACATTAGAATGAGTAATTAATGGGTTTAATTTAAGATTACCATGGCGATTTAATCGGATCGGGAACAGTGATGCCGCGTGTATTCAAAAAATGCCTTGTGAACGGATCGCAATCGATGATGTGATATTGCCGATCAAATATCTGAACAGTCTGATCCACGTTCAGATCGATTAAAGACATGAACTCGTTATCGCAGGGAGGCGCCTTCTGAACCCGCTGCCGATGAACCACGCATCCCTGCACGATCCCAGAGTTGTCCACCCGGGGCTCGTAGATCTCCAAGGTACCATCCTCAAGATAGTAGTAGATCTTGACCTTGCGCACCAGGTAGGGCGCATGGTAGACCTCCTGGAGGGTTTGCTTGAAGTAGGCATTGAAGCACAGCACCTTCTTGTCGTATGCCAGCCATGGAGGCATCCGGGGACCCGAGCGGGGTGGATATATGGAGGACGCCCCAACTGGGGGACAGCTTATGTCCACCGTAACGCTGCCCGATTCCACAGGAGCCGGTTGCTGGCGATCACTGAGCATGCTGAGTCCTTGGAAATTGGCCAGCGATTGCGGTTTGGGGTAATGTCCCTTGGATACCTGTTACATACCGGTTTATATGGATACTGATCCTAATTGAGGCTCAATTGCTAGTACTTACATCGCGGAAGAGAGTCCCCGGAAGAAGGGGCATTCCAGGAATGCGCAGCATTGTGTATTTTATTTGAATGAACCCGTTTTCAACGTTCTATCTTTGGAAATATGTTGTAGCTTTGTGTACACTCTAAATATAATACAGAGCAGTATTGAAGAAAATTCAATCACATTTCCATCAGAGCCTACTGTTTTACTCTTTTTATTTCTTCGAAGTCGCAAGAGTTACACTTTCTATTTGAAGATTGGCCTTTTTTTAAAAAATCAATTACTTGTAAACTTATCAAATGTGTCCCAAAGTTTGATTCTACTTTACTTCTTATTGTCAATGCATTAAATAATAATAATGTAATAATACGCAAAGAATCCAGTCAATGCTATATTCAATCGCAAGTTGATTTATGGGTGTTCCGACTAAAATGGTGAAACAAACTAAGGGAGTAGAAATCAATAGATGTCTGATGCTTGAAGATAACTTATATTTTACCCAATGACATTCATTTTTGTTTTTATCTTATAAATACAATGTAAAATAATATCATTTTGCAATGGTATATGCGATGGTTTACTATTCGATACGTAAACTTATGCTTAATTGTGAGATAGTCTCGCAGCTCTATTGCTTTTGAGATTTCAAAAAATACATTTCTTGTTTTAAGTTATATTCTGGGAATTGTTTGTGGTATATGTATGTATGTATATGTATATATAATGGATAGCTGCTGGATGTTCCTTTTATTCGGAGGGAGTGAGATCGTTTTCAGGTTCGTTTTCGTTGAGAATTTGAGAAAGCAAATCATAGAGTGGTTCTAAAATCTTTTTCGCTCCAGCATTGGTTAGATTCTTATAGTCGAACATATCGTGATGACTGATGCTGCCGTCGCTCTGGATCAAACCCTTGTCAATGGCCACCGTCTGCACGCGATACAATCCCTTGGTCAATCCATTGACCACCTCGTTGATGTTGGCATTCTTTTCGCGCAACTTATTGGGCTGCTGACCACGCGGCAGTAGCGACTGCAAGGGAGAGATGGTAATGGTGAGAATTTACTGCGATTAACGCTGTCTAAAACCACCACTACTTACGGGAAGAACGATGTAAGCGTTGGGCAGCTTTTGGCGGATTTTCGTTACGTTCGCGAGCACACCCTCGGCCACTTCCTCCGCGCTGTTCCTCACGTTATTGGTGCCCACATGGAGGACCACGATTTTGGGATTCACATTGTCCAGCGCACCGTTTTCGATGCGCCACAGTACATGCTCGGTGCAATCGTCGCGAATGCTGAAGTTAAGGCAGTGCAGCGGTGCAAAGTACTGATTCCAGGCCTCTGTGTCCTGGACGGTTTCGAAGATGCAGTCCCCCAGGAATATCACATCCGGATCCTTTTCGCGGCAATCGGAGATGAACCGGCGGTGTATGCTGTGCCATCGCTTGTCGCCATCCAGATCGGGCAATGGTGTTGGCAGCACACAGGGATTCATTTTGCCGGCGTGCTCAGATTCAGTTGCTGATGTAGATTGAGTTTCAGTTAAAGATTCCGATTCCTATTTCGATTCAGTTGCAGTTTTAGCATGCGGATGAGAATTAGGCATCGGCTTAGTCGCACCAAATACTTATGCGTTTTACTCGACTAACAGAGACAGCGTTGCAATCGTGGGAAAACAATTCAACTGATATTCGCTAGCTAAACAGCTCCGTTCTATTGTTTACTGCAATAAATCGTTTTTATGGCGAGTATTGAAACTTGATTTCTTGTGCATATTTTCGCAAATATGACCGTGGCGAGACCGTTCAAATATGCCATTATTACAATGCGAAAATATGCTAAATTAAATACTGCCCCATGAGGAACGGTGGCATGAAAAATTCAAATTTGCAAGCTTTAATAAATTCGTAACTGATTTCAGAAATATGCAAGTTACATTTCCCACTATGTATCATGGCATATTCATTCAAATTATAAGCGCTTTTCTTATTAGAGCTACATAAATAACAATATACCATTTCACTGGCGTCGCATAACTTTCCGTCGCTACCTTGACGCAACTTCTTTGGTCACACTGCAGCAATGACATAACCTAGTTATTGTCAAAAAACTGGAGTAAATTTGATTTCTTCGAAAACATAAATCGCAACTTGCGTTTGAGTTGCCGGCATGTTGAAGCTTAACCTTGTAAGCCAGTTGCGAACGACGTACAAGCGCTGCTTGGCCGGACAGTCGCAGCTGCAGCTGAATCCCACGGACGGAGAGCCGGCATATCCGGAGATTCAGGATCCGTCCTTCCAGGCGCGCAAGCAGAGGGATGCGACCAACTGGCACGAGGAAATCCGCCAGGTGCCCACGGTGGAGGAGAAGATGATCAAAATCAATATTCCTCGCTATTATGGCTTCAAGGTGGTCGACTTCAACGACTCGAAAATTCCCTACAATGCACTGCCGCTCACGCAACATTATACGCGCACAGTGCTCGAGGATTTGCCATCTAAATCGCCGAAGGAACAGGATTCCGAGCAGAAGGAGCAGCCAAGCGAGGATGGTCTTTTCAAGGCGGCTCGCGGGGATGTCATCGATGCCCTTGAGTTTGCACACGACTACTACAAGTGGGTAAAATGAGGCCCCCTTTCAACAAACCGAGTTCTCATGCGAGTTTGTGGGCAGTGACTTCGCAAACTCACTTAAGAACTCTGATTGGTTGGAGTGGCTCGAGTTACAAGTACGGTCGTCTGGTATTAATGTATTCTCTTCCATACCAAGCGTAGGCATCTAGAAAAGCAACCCAACTCTGCCGAACGTAGCCCTGTTGAACGTGAGCGCATCCTAACGCAGATCATTGTGGAACAGCTGAACAGAGCTCTGTTGCAGTCCCTTAGCGAGGAGTACAAGCACCTGGATGAGGTCGAGGTCGACTACAATCCGCGCCACGAAGCCTTCTGGGCCGTTGGCGGCGTAGATCCACCCAAGAACGTGCAAAAATCAAAGAAGGGCCGGAAATGGCAAAAGGAGATGGCAAACGAGAGCGTCGACCGGCTGGTTCAGTATACGGGAGCACCGTATCTTGCCCTGCGCCATCGCAAGCAATTATCGCCGTGGAAAACGGAAGCGGAAAGCGAAAACCTCGAGCTGAGCAAACAATTGCCCCGTTTCAAGCATGACCCGCGAACTCTTGGCTACAGTACCAAGCATCAGCACGCCACCAATGTGCCAGGATATTGGCCCAAAGGAAATGAGCACAACTTTGGCCTGCTCTCATTTCAATCGCGGGCACACCTTCAACTCCGCCCGAAATCGTATGGTGAGCAGGATCTGCTAGAGGCTCTGCACTCACTGGCGATTAAATCGTCATACGCGTTGCTTTTGGCCCAGGCGAACTACAATGGCTTCAACACATACAACGAACTGACCTATCCCATGAACACACAAACTGTGATCACGAACGGCAGGGAATGGAGCTTTTACGAGTATCAGCTAAATACGCTGCTGCTGTACGGCAAGAACGTGGAGGAAAATCCTCGTGTCAACTTCTGTCGTGGTACAAAGCCACTTCCACTTTACGCTGAGATTTCGACGAGCGGAAAGTGTGTTGATTTCAACGATAACGCACTGCGGCACCTGCTTAACTTCTATGCTAATGTGCCATCTATTCAGCGGAGTATTGCGGAGCAGCAGCCGTATGTTGCATCCGACGTATCCGACTATGAGAACGCCGAACAGCGTGACTTTATTAGTAAAACATTCAAATATTTGGCTTCAAACCGACCGCGACACTTGGAGTTACCTGAAATCTACCTGTGGGAGAAGCTGTACAAGATTGATAACAATACTCGCGCCATGGAGGCCAAACGGCGCTTCTTCGAGCTGGACATCAATCCTTGGCAACGAACGCTGGACGCACATGACAAGGAGTATGTTCCCCGGGCAGTCCGACCAGACGTCCCTAAGAATAAGAACAGGTTCAAGAAGACGTACTACCCTTGATTAAATGAATAAAGATGCACTTCCTAAGGTTAAACTTGTTAAAAACGCTGCCTTTCTAATGCAAAATGGAGGATTACCGATTGGAAAACACGAAAAAAGTTACAAAGCTCCTTTTCACATTGAATACTGAGTTTCAATTAAGCCTTTCGTGCCTTTTCTGGTTGTTTATAAGTTAGGTTTTATGTACGAACCTAATCTTTTTCGTCTTCAATTTTTCAAAATGTAGATGATTATAAAATACTTGGAATTTTGCCAATGATCAGTGCTGATGCTAAAATTCTTGCCAATGCAATGTTCGTTATCATTATTTGATTGTTTGTGCAGCATATATTTATTCTAGATTCCATTGTTTATTTCTTTTATCAGCAAACATACCGAAGTTATCTCACAAAGTGGTTAAAATGCGGCTACACTGGGCAAAAAGAATATTTTTTTAACTGAATAGAGGATTATAACACTAGCCCGATATATCATATCTTATATTACTTGATTATATGTAATATTACTCTAATGTGTATAGCGCTAGTGCATAATGTTCAATATATGTAGGTAGACTTAAAACTCTTACTTAGTCAGACAATATGTCTGTATTATTAACTTTGTTTGTCATTATTTCATTAATCATAATAGTTTATATTCCTACATCAAAGTAAGGATTGCCAAAAAGTTGCCACTTGTCAGTTATTTTGGTAACGTCTCAGCTAACCATATGGTATGTAGTAACGGCTGTGCGACGGTCACACTGGATCCGCATAGTTAGGCACGGGTAAATAACCAGTTTGAGACTTTACGGTGGTGCGGAAACTCGTACCTGGCGCTTTGGCTGTCCAAAGGTAAAGCAGTAACCTGTTGCATATATTTTTTTGGTAATAGTGGAAAGTGTAGTGCAGACAAGTCGAACATAACTGATATTCACTCGAAATTCCGTTGGGCGAGTGCTGAAAATCTTGAATATTGATCGAGAGTATGTGGATACGGTGAGCATTAGTGGGCAAACAAGTGTATTTCTCGGTTTTTCCCTTCTGTGGAGCCCATCGAGCTTATAAAGTTGTAACCCGTGTAAATATGTGTATTATAATTATGCCATAACAGTACTACAAAAGTATGCTACTGATGATGTGGAACAAGCCCTCGGATTATCATAAATATGCCATGGACTCTCTGGAATGCCAGTGTAAAATAGTGAAACCAGTGGCAAACCACATATTTGTCTATATCTATATCTATAGCTATTCCTCCCCCTCCGATCGCAAGCGATCCGATAAAACACTGTGTTTATGCTTTGCATTCTGTGATCTCATGAATACGTGAAATCAACATCGAAATCTCCACCCATCCGACGTGCTTGCATGTGTATAGTTTATAGTTTAGTTTCAACAAAAAAAACAAAAAAAAAACAAAAATTAACGAGAACACTGAATGGCAGTTAATTCCTATTGTTTTCAAGCGAATTCTCCATACGGGCTGTCCCAGAAATACCGTTCGATCAAGCCTCATATCTCGGTGTCCCAGAATTCTAGTTCTTTGCCCACACTTTTTATAGATATGAGCGGACTTTTATGATCTTGATCAAATAAACGTCGTAACCCCATAATATTTTGCCACTTTTAAGTTTCTAATAGAGTTAATGTTGTATTAAATAATGTCACTCTAGTCATATACGTTTATACACGATATATACACTTTAATTTGCCCTAAAGCACTTCCATGACGGTTATATTATGTTGATGTTTGGCGCTGTTTAAGTGGCTCTCGAATCCGAAACCGTTAAGGCGATTGATGAGTTTGACCTCCTAAAGCTGAAGAAATGCGGTTCTATCTTTAGACACTCATGTGCATACATACATACACACGAAAACGAGCTCGTGTTATAATAGTTACACCATAACTCCACAAGTGCGACATGCATTTTCATGATCTTGGTCGTGTTTTGAAGGTCGGAAGAACAGTATAGAATCTATTTAGCTTGTGGGAGTAGATGGTTTTTATTTTAGTATCTACACACAAGATAAAAAGTAATTTGGTGTTTTTCGGTAGTCCTATTGGGTCATAATCAGTTCGGATTAATCTTGGAGCCATGGATGATAAGGAACACGAATTGTCGACGAGAGTGGCGAAAAACGAGGAGAACGAGGATGACGAGAAGCCCAATGAGTTATCCTTTTGCTTTGTTCGGGTAAGTGTAGAATTGAAATTTAATTTATATTTGTACGCATTCAGTGATTATTCGTGTAGATTGTGTAGATCTCTAAGATTCAGCAAAGCAAATTGTTATCACTTCAAACCATAAATGATTCCGTTGTGGAATTGTTCATTCTGAACATTGAGTCATAGCTTTTAGGGATTGCTATCATGACTAATGACGTACAGGAATCCGCCAATAAAAGCAAATATCTCCACAACACCGCCTTAAATTCGTGTATATATATATATTCAGATGAAATCATTCTAATCCATGTGTACTATCATATACAATATATCATATACCATATACCATATACCATTTTCCAGGGTTCAGATCCACGAGCAGCGACATGCCGCAGCAAACTGCAAAACAGACGATGCAAATTAAACAAAGAAATAAATAAGGAACTCCGCCTTCGAGCTGGTGCTGAGAATCTATACAAGGTGGGTACCTTCCCATATCACCCTCAACCTATACCCAAGCCAAACTATATGCATATACATATATATATTATTTAGGCCACATCGAACCGCAAATTGCGAGACACAGTTGCCTTGGAACTTAGCTTTGTCAACTCAAATTTGCAACTGCTGAAGGAGCAACTAGCCGAGTTGAATTCTTCGGTGGAAATCTATCAAAGCGAAAGGTGAGATAAGATGCTCCTTGTTGTAAGCTCTGTGGAATATAGGATTTGGAAATGGGTGTGAAGACCCAGAGCTGGCCAGTTTTAAGCTTATCTTTTGATATCAAAAATAATGATATAATACTTCCCAGTCACAATGGAATTATGCCCATGATACCACTGGGCCTGAAGGAAACCAAGGAGATCAATTTCATGGAACCCTTTTCCGACTTCATCCTGGAGCACTACAGCGAGGAGCCCTCGATGTACATTGATGCCATAGCCGATATGACGGACACAAGACAGGTAATGGCTCACATCCCACAATTGTGTGCACAAATAATCCTATCCCGGCTCCTTATAGGCATCCAAAACACCGTCACGAGATGCCCTCGGAGTGGCCCTGCTTTTCCGCTACTACAACACCCTGTATTACGTGGAACGTCGCTTCTTTCCGCCGGATCGTAACCTGGGCGTATACTTCGAGTGGTACGACTCGCTCACGGGAGTTCCCTCGTGCCAGCGGACCATAGCCTTCGAGAAGGCCTGCACCCTGTTCAATCTGGGCGGCATATATACACAGATCGGCGCTCGACACGATCGCACCACGGAACGGGGTCTGGATTTGGCCGTGGATAGTTTTCTACGGGCAGCCGGGGTCTTTCGTCACATCTACGATACGTTTACGAATGCACCATCGATGGACCTGAAGCCACAGGTCCTGGACGTTCTCGTTTCGCTGATGCTCTCCCAGGCGCGAGAATGTCTCTTCGAGAAACTCCAGCTGCAAATCGAGGCAATGAGCGTGAGTAGCCGTCAGTATTCCTATCACTCATAGATAAATAATTGTCCCATCTATGTGTATACCAATTAGTTCGATTGTCAAGCGTTTCGGGATCTGGCTGGCGAGGCTGCTCAAATATCGCACGAGTACAATGAGATGCACAAGAATATCCAGGCAAACGATACGCACACCTATCTTCCGGAATGCTGGGCTGGCCTAGTGCCAGTCAAGGCGGAACTCTACAAAGGTAGCATGGGTCATCGTCTCGAAATGGGAGTATACTAAAGTATGATTGTACACACCACCAGCATTCGCACATTTCTACAAGGCACGCAGCATAGATGCGACGGACGAGCTGAAGGCATCCAAGTCAAGTCAAAAGAACCAGGAGTCCTTTATCGGCAATTCCCAGGAGGTGGAGCGCATCACCAACGCCGACTATGGAGCCAGCGATGAGGCGGCCACCTCCATTGCCAACAAACTGGCCCACTTGAAGGAGGCACTGGCTAGCATCGAAGAAGCCCAGAGATTGCAGCGGATGTGCAGGTTCCTAAAGGTAAATATACTTTTACTAATAAAAATAAATATTATATATCCATGCCATATAACATGTTTATATCTGGTCTCACATCTTTAATCTTTTAGAACAAGGCATCGCTGACTGAAGTCATGAAGGAGGTGCACTCCAAATCGCAGGAGGAGCTCGAGAAGTTCAGACTGCAAGCATCAGCCAATAATATCGAAGAGGGCGATCTTCTAGAGCGATCGGTTGAAGGTAGTATACATATCTTACTCAAGATTAAGCTGCTGTGCTCATGTATATCATCCACTTTCTCAGCATCTTCGAAGTTCACGTTATCCCTAACCGGACCCGACTTCACATCGCACAAGGTTAAGGATCCCTTCAAGCGCCTGGGTCCGATAGCAATATTTTCGGCGAGACGCCACTGGACTGCTCCAAGATGTGTGCGTCTCCAGAAGGGATCCTCCCTGTATCACAGCGTGCCCAGCAATAACAACAAGTGTCCATTGGACAACGATGACGAGCACGATGGTGGATACAATCTGTACAAGGAGGAGTTTGAGAACTTTGGCTTCCATGTGCGCGGCGATGCTCCGGTGATCATTGCCCACGTTGAGATTAATTCACTGGCAGACGTAAGTGAATGCATCTTCCATCGATTCGTATACTGTAGGTATTATTTTCAGCTTGGCGGCATCAAGGAGGGAGACTTCATAGTCGAGATAGCCGGCGTGGACGTGAAATGGTACTCGCATCAGCAGGTGGTGCAGCTCATACAATCCTGCGGCTCCACACTCGAGCTGAGAGTGATAACGCCCATGGATCGCAACTACTTGAAGGTGCAGACACTCTATTGATCAAATTAAATAATACGTAAACTAATTCACCTGGTTTACCCGCAGCCATTGTCGTCGAAGGGCTCATTATCAACGCTATCGGCGGCCAGTTCATCGGGCATCTCATCCGGATTTCCCAGTCCCACAAGTATTGCGGCCAAGCCCAAGCTCCACCTGAAGACATCCTCTAGTTCGCGACCAGCTGGCAGCGTTTCATCCAGTTCGTGGAATCCATTTCGACGAACGCCTAGCTTAGCTAAAATATTTTAGGTAGCCACCAGTTTTATTTTGTGTTTTTTTGCTCTTAAGGCAATGGCCATTTCAAGTTAAAAAGAATGTTGTGCAGTTTAAGTTAAGCAATAAACTTAATGATTTTTTAAAAGCTTTTCTATAATCCATAATTTATTTTATGATTATTGATTTAATCGGTCCCAATCACCCATCGATAATAATCTATACGAAAAACGAATTCAAATAAATGTTTTTAATGTTTTATCGAATTTATTATATGTATATATTTTTACAATTTTTGGACATCTACACTTTAATTAAATCATTGCGAACCGAGAACATACCCAAGAAACGATTTCAAGATTTCAGTTTTTTATGTTGAGAGTCGTAGGGAATTGCGGAATTTTTGAAATAGTTCGGGATCCAATCCACTTCTCTTTTCCAAATTCTCAAATTACAATTTTAACCGAAAGCTTACAATTTATGTTAATTAATCACACCAACGACTATTACCCAACGTGTTTAAGAATATTGTTTTAACTGGAGGATACTGCTATATGATTACTTCGGACGCTTTCCATACACATTTGAATATAGGTTCGCATTATTGGGGTGATGTCTTTATGCGTTCGCAAATTGCTATGCATAGAACAGCCAACTTATGCACACAACTGCCAGATACAAAAACAGCTTAGACAGGGTCTGTTCATCCTCGTATTGCGTTGTTCCCCGATTAGCAGCTAAATAAAAGGGGCAAACGTTACTTCATTTCGATAATATGCGTATTGAGACGATGAGTAACCTACCAGCCGGACGTGGTTCGCCAAAGTTAAGCGAAGATGTTATGAATCCGAAAGGAAAAGCTCCAATGCCGAAGGACATGTGAAAACCGTCGCCGAATCCGAATCCAGGGAACCCGGGAACAGGATCTGGTTCTGTACGTTGACCAGAGGGGCGTGGTGGGACTTTGTTACTGTGAAACACATAATAGTGGGTTAATTAAACAATACTTATGTTGAAAGCGCAATCCTTAAGCAATATGGATAGCACAAACATCTTTATAGACACGTCTACGAAAAATCCAATATTTATATTGGAGTGCAAACCTACCGAGGATCTTCCTTTTGTGTACTATTTCTTCCGTACAGCGGTATGACCTTGTCCTTGTCCACGGCAGCCTTGCAAACGGGACAGAGTTTGCGATTGGGGCGCGTCAAGAGCCACTGATGCAGACACGGCCAGCAGTAGAGGTGGCCGCACATACTGACCACAGCATCCTTGGCGGTGTCCAGACATATGTTACACTCGTAAAGCGATTCATCTGAAGTCTGCTCCTTCTCCTTGTCCTTTTCGTTGGATTTCGAGTCACTTTCGGTGCCGGCGGATGGATAGCCACCCTTTAGATCGGCCTTATTGCCACCAGAGAGATAGTCTCCAGTAAAGGAATACGATGTGTTGGATGTATTCGCTTCTGATGCCGCCGAATCAGTTGGAATCGAGGTACCCAGCGGGCGCAATTGACTTGTAGAGGACTCCTCAGCCAAGGGTTCTGTGATATCCCGAGTCCAGGCGATCTTGTCGTAGCTCACGTTGTCGGTCAAAGTGGATGATGACGAAGATGCCCCGGTTGATGTGGTGGGCAGCTCCGCTGTATTTCCCATTTTCGGTTCCTCCATGGTTTGCCCAGGTTGGTGATAAAGCCTTTACTCGTTCAAACTGCAACGGGACGTTGGACAATTTAGAAAACCGAATATGCGCAGAATTTAAAAATTATTGAAGATGTATAGAAAATGACAAAAGCTACGTAAATTTATGTAAAATCTGTTTCTTCCCAACTGAAAAGCGGATTTCAAAACTACTTAGATTGCACCTATGATTTCTCTGGTAAATACAATTCGGGTCCATACTATGTTGAATATGACTTAATTTAATTAAATACTTCAAGCGTAGTTTGAGGGGGGTTTCCCCGAGTTCCACAGCATTCAGCATTTGTCCGGTCAGAGGGGGTGATGTTTATAGCTGTGAAAACCGCCCAAAGGGCGTATTTAACACCACGCCTTCAAGGATAATGCACCGAACATTCCCATTGACTGCAACCATCTAAATTTAACCAGAAAAATGCAATTTCGGCAGAATTGGACTGGCAAACAGGACGGTAAACCTGCATATGTACCTGCCACCTATGTGTGTACTTAATTATGTACACATCTACACACACGCGCACACATGTGTATATAGGTCGTGAAGGCTTCCATCTACCTGTTACATACATATGTATATTGGAACCGATTATATGCACCTTTATACGGTACGTGTAGCTGTTATAAATGTCACATGATGTTTTCTTGGAGCACTTCCTATCGGAGTCAAGGAATTTTATGCTAATAATTACTCACATACCATGCGAAAACATATATCGCGTGGCAGAGATAACTTTTGAACTTAGTAAATACTAAATATTACTTCCTGGTGCACAGCGAAAAGTATAACTTCTCGAAATTACATACATTGTAATTGTATTGTTTGCAAACCCTGACTTGTTTCCCATCATTTTATTGTTCGATTTCGCTCACTTTTTGCTCCTACTTGCCGTGCAATATTTAGTTAAATTGAATCGAAGTATGTTGGTAAGGTGGTTGTGTGGATAAATGGGTTGTGTTACAGTAAAATTGATAATTTATCAATTGACGTCTTAATACCTCAAAACAATTGCAATGACGATACCTGTCCGAGACCGATAGACCTTTACCCTATCGGAAAATAGCTGTCTGCATAATAACCCGTCTCCACCGGACTTGTGTTCGATTACTATTGAGTAATGCCAATCACAAGAAATCTATTGAAAAGTGATCAGTCTTAAATTGATTTATACACAATCAAAAAAAAAAAACTACTAAAAGCAGAAGACTAAATACTATTCAGAAACAGCTGTTGTGTGCAATTAACAATCGATAGCTGGACTCACCCGACCATCTCTAGCTTGTACAGATCTGGCCACAAAAAAGCTCAAGAATTTAATAATACTATTGATATACTAAATCATAACAAGGCACAGCTGATTTGTGCAATGGTCCATGTATCTATCGAAGTTTCAGTCGTAGTCGATAGCTTACCCACTGTGCAGGAATCACGCGACCATCCCTAATTCAAACTGACTTTTTCAAAACAAAGCAAAGGAGATTTAAAGCTTTTTTAAATACATATGGTGATTTCCAATTGGTGACTCTGGTTGCAATGAGCTGCTTTGGCTGCGGCCGCAAATATGGCCTATTCTGCAAGGAGGCAAGTGTCATCAAGCGAATGCAAACATACATATTAACAATGTATCCAATCCAAAATCATAGTATGGATGCCCCAACTGTGGCTACTCATTCTGCTCCAAGTGCTTGAAGAGGCCAATGCCCGTGCCCCGTCACTCAGGAAAGGTGCTCAACGTGTGCCTCATATGCTACGATAAGCTATCCAAACTCCAGGCGAGCGCCGATGCCGAGAAAGTTATAGACTGTGAAGCTCTGCCAGGGGTCTTAGTCACCAAAATTAACCTGCCCCCTCCCTCCAAAAGTTCAGAGGGCGCCGATGCACTGTTCAAGTAACTAGAACACATTAGAATATCAAATCTGAAACTATAATTTTATGAATTACAGTGACAGCCTGCCTGTGGAGGAACTGCCCCAGGCATTGGTTCCAAGTACCAGTTCGTCACCACATTCCAAAGATCATAAAGATCATATTGATGAGAACCTGGACAGTGAATTGAAGAAACGAATGCAGGACTATAAGCGAGTTGATGCCACAGATGACGAGATCCGCGCCCGTCTGGCCAATCTCACCGGAATGCCGCTTACGAAAAGCTACGATAAGAAGGATTTGCTACTATCAACCGACCAAAGAAACGATCAAGAGAAGATGAGGGACTTGCTCGAACAATTTGTGGAGGAAACACAACTAGATCAAAATATCAGTAGGCAGAGGGATGACTCAATTTCCGACATTGAGAGACGTCTTCGAGCTCTACGCGACACACCCATCGATTCCGATGCAGGCCCGTCGAGATCTCAGATGGACGGTACCGTGGACAACGAAGAGGATGACGAGTCACTTCTACAAAACATATTGAAGAAGGTTCGCATTCAATTAAATTACAAGTATATTTTATAAGCCAAATCGCCATTTTGTATCCCATTCAGTATGTTGAAGAATCGCGCTTACCAGCAACTTCCGAGAATGAAATTAGTCCAATTAATACTGAGTCCCCTGGCAACACCGAAGAATTACCCTGGTGCAATATTTGTAACGAGGACGCTGACTTCCGATGCCATGGATGCGGTGGGGAACTCTTTTGCACTCTGTGCTATAAGGAGTGCCACGATGATGACGAGGAATACCGCGCTCACGTTAAGGAAAAATATTCAGCTCCGCCAAAGCTTAAAGAAAATCATTTCTAATTGTTAACGTTTACTTGGCTGTAAGCAAATTTCTGTTTAATTATAGATTGTTTCAACAAATGCATTTCTATTTATGTGATGCTAGCTCGCTCACATTTGTGCAGTAATATTGTTCCCTCTTTTTCAGTTCTGAGATAAAGCAGGTAGGCACGTTGTAGGTTGTATACCTTTCAAGGATGCATAAACTATAATAAAACTATACAAAGCAGCTGCTGTAAGTTACGTGACTTACAAAAGAATTTCCAAACAGGCAAATTTATAAACAAATGATTTAATTTTCAACAATTTAAACGTAATTCGGGTGCATTTAAGTCATGTATGTATGGGAAATGGTGCTTTTCTTTTGGCCTTCATTGTCCCTCCTCCTCGATATTGTAAAAGTGGGGCCATGTCTGTATCTCCTCGTACAATCGCCGACCAGGACTTTCCGTTGAGTTGCACTGGCAGTGACAAATTAATCTATAGTCGGTGGATATGTGGCCATCCTCCACGCCGCGGGCCAACAAATTGCGGCACATGTTCAAGGCGTCTGGAGTCGGAAGTTCTTTCATGAAGCATCCAATGAAGCTGATCCCCAGTGAGATCCTGTTGTATCCCAAAGTGTGGGCGCCCACCGTTTGCCAGCCGCGTCCTTCGAAAATGTTGCCATCGCAGCCGATCAGGAAGTTGTACGCAATGTCATTCCATCCCCGCGACTCAATGTGGAAGCACTGCAATATATATATCTTGATTAAATAGTAAAAACTTTTTTGATTTAAGATACTTACCTGCATATCCCGAATAAGTCTAACGTTGATCGCACGCTTCTCTGAGCTCTCGGTAGCTGTGTGTACTGCGGGGGAAAAATTGAATAATCAAGGTTTTAAACATATTTGAAGAGTTAAAATAAGATATATTTTAAGTCTGTGCGTGACAAACATGATGGCCACATCAAATGTTATATTTATTGCATCGTACTTTTACGCATATTTTGTTTTATAATCAATTGTCAAAGAAATGGTTAAAACTCGCAGTAAACTTGAATACTCACAGATAACCACATATTTAACAGGTAGTTGCAAAGGCTGCGGATCTTCCATGGGCTTCTGTGCTAGCCAGGAAGAGCGCGGAATAATGGCGCACAGCTCCTTGGGTATTTTGAATTCTGTAAGTGAAATCGGTATTCTGTGGTTACGGTCAAGAATCCCCTGCTGAATGATATCTTACTTTGGCGCCTGATAAACACATCTGAGCGGACCCTTTCCTCCGACTCGTCCTGATAGTCGTCTTCGAAATGTGTTGGAGTTTTTGAAGCGCTATCTCTCGATGGCGAAACATGCCGCCGATCTCTTCGGTTTTGGGTAAGGCTCTCGGCTATGATTTGTATGTTTCCATTGATATTGGTAACATTGCCGATATGAACGTTTGTGGAGTTGCTTATATTAACGTTGCCCAAGGTCTGAATGCTGTTGATTGAGTTCATAAGGTCCCTTATAGTATCGGTGATGATCGAGTGCTTTTTGGCAGCTTTAAAGAGAATATTAAGATTTAAGAAGAGGATGTTAAGAATTGAATGTAGGAACTCGATGGTAAGCTGTACGCACCGATTTGAGTGCCTAGTGTCATTGTGCTGATTTCTTCGCTGGTATTTTGATCGGTATCTTCCTCCTCCTCGGTATAATCGTAGTCCAAGCTGTCCACAACGGAGGACTCGGCGATGGACTCCAGTTCCTCATCCTCCTGCCTGGCCAACCATTCCCGAGTCCGTTCTTGGCTCAACTTCTTGATTCCCGATTCGGACATATCCGTAGTTTTGTCTTGTGTTTGCGGCCAATAAGTGCTCGTGTATCTCTCGGCTGTTCTCTACTTTGTTTATCAATATTGTGAGTTAGAACTACTCTGTTTTCTGATTAGTGGTCGTGTTGTGTCCACCTCGCACGATAAGATAAGGACGTTCCACAGGCTATATACGCTATTATATGCGTGTGCCGTTTGAACTGCTTTACTACATATCAGTCGACTTGGGCCTTTTTTTATTGCATATTTAGTCATATATATTAATTATTGTCATGGGTGTTGAGGGTCAGTCTAGATATCGATAAGTATTATCGATGTTTGAACTTAGAACAATTCCACTTTTTTTGTGGCGCGCTTAGCGGTGCGAACACACTAGGCCGCATCCACTAATCGAGTTTCGGATTTCGATAAGTGGGTATTCAATAACAGTTAACAGTTTCAAATACGAGCGAAAATAATAGTCTTTCTATGACGGGTTTGCTCATGTATCTTATTTATATATATTAAAAAATATTTCCCTGGCTAGAGGTCCTAGAAATGGTAAGCTTTCCACCGCGCTTGCCTATATTGCCTATATTTTATGTAAAGCAGTTAACTGCAACACTGCCCCATGGGGGACCCATCTTTGAGCATTAGTCATGGGGTTAGAGGTACTCTAGATAAAACAACGAAAGTTAATTCATGCGCTGTAAACATTCACTCGACCACTCTCGCATATGCGCCGTTTCTCCCTCTGAGCCTCTCAATTACTTCCTTAATTTGTATTAAGTTAAGGCTGGGTATTCTAGACCACGAGCTGAACACACAGTTTTGATAGGTGCTTAGAGCAATTAAAAATAATAAACTTAATGTAAACAACATTTTATACATTTCTTGAGGTATATTTTGAGGTATAAATACGGGGAAGCAATAAGATGTAAAACAATTTCCGCTAATAAAATAAAATTATTAAGCGGTCAAACCGAATTGTAATCATCCTAATCAAATATACCAGAATAGGTATTTTCCAGTGGAGTTCAATATAAAAAGGCGGCAATGGTCACACGCATATCCAAAACATATAAAATGTATAAAAATGAAAGAGAACAAATTCTCTTTATGCAAAAACTAAAATTTACGCTCTCTTAGGTTCCACAAGTGTTCCAATTGGTTCCAATTGGAACCGCGCACGAAGAGAGAGAAAGAGAGCGAGAGTTTCGAGTCGAATTGGAATGGCACGGCCAGTTTCGAATGCGAATGCTCAATGAGAAGAGCTTTTACTGTTTTACTTTTTGCCTGAAACTGAAATACTTTTTGAGATAATTTCTTGTTGGTAGTTCTGTTTATGCCATCGTTTGCGTCTGTGTTATTTCGATTGCGAGAGCTAGTTAACATTAGTTAAAATTAAAACCAACGCCAGGCAGAAGATATAATCGAATTGCGGTTTTTTCTTCTCGTACCGAAATCCATCCACATCCACATCCGCATCCACCATCCACCATCCACCAGCCGTTCGTTCCGTTCGTCGTTATCCGTCGGATATGTTGTTTTATCGTCGTACCGCACAAGTTCGTACCCAGTCCAAATCCAAATCCAAACAGATTGCGCCGTGTGCCGGTATAAATAGGCGCTAAGTTTGGGAAAAACCATCAACCTCAGATGATGTGCCTCGAACATTGCGGGCGAAAACAGCGACAAATCGCTGGCGGAAAATAGCCTCCTGGAGGGAAAAGTGGCGTTCGCGTATTTAATGAAATATGAAATAATGGGTTCGCTTTAGCACAATTCGTCGGTGTGGGTGTGTTGTGTAAACAAAGTTGTAGTTATAGTTTTAGTTTAATTAGCTTCGCATAAGCTGCAACCGGATCTGAAACAGACCGTGGAAAGGAAAATAATAATTGCATTTCATGTATGCCAGTGTAAATTTGCGTTCGTGTGTGCTAAGTTTACATATAGAGAGTGGATATGGATAGTGTGGTCTGTAGTATCCTATCCGATTCGCGCCGTTATTTTATTGTTAATGCGCAGGTAATTCGGAGCGCTTTTCGGCCACTCTACCCAATATTTTGTTCTACATCGTGTTTTTATTTTTTTCCCCTCCATTTTTTTCCACCTTTTTTTTGCTGTGCTGTGCTGAGCTGTGTGCATTTATTTGACAGCTTATGAATCACCCGCAAAGATTCATTTGCGCTGATTGCAGCACAACTGTTGCACCCACTTTCAAAAAACAAATAATCACAAGCAAAAAAACCCATACATCGTCTTCGGGAAAACTACTCAAGCGAGTTTAGCCAGCAACAAATACGTATAATTCAATGAAAATAAACAAATGATACCTAAGCTACAGAGCACATTGATTTCCCCCCTAACTATTATAATTACCTTGTTTTTTTTCAGTGCATTTATTAAGGAATCACTCTGATATCAGAACAACCTTAAACACCGTATTGAATCAAAATGAATAACACGATATGGTGGCGAATTCCGCCGAACAATCGACTCGAGTGAATATATGCGGTAAACACCTCCCAAGTGTAAACTTGACTCCCATTACCACTGTGTAAATACCAGAAGGTAAACCAAAAGGAAAAAAGAACAATAATACTACTGCAGAGAAATAAGAACGCACGATACACTTATTTGGATGTGGATTTAAGTTTCAGTAATGCCAGCCAATGAACGACCAATTGCGATACAATACAAAAACATAAACGAAAGGTAAATAAATGCAAATTAAAACCAAAAAACCGGGCTCATGGCACAATTGGTCATGTAAATCGCGAAAGATAAACATAATCCATATAATATCGTCCAAGTCGCGACGGTGGAAAATGTGCAGTGCGGTTATATCCTAAAAATGGATCTGTTTTCCCTGAGAAACTGCCGCAGTTGTGTTCCCTTCTTCGATCCCTGCAAACTCCACGAAAAAAGTCCCCCGAAGAAGGTGCTGTGAATACCCAATTAGCACTCCATCAAGAGATCTTCTCCAGCTTTCGGATCTCCACACATCTAGACTATATCCTAGCCAATCGGAGCAGCAGCCATAAGTAGCATATAATCCTGAAGCCTCACACCAATGCGATATGGATTGTGATTACTCGAAGTTTCTGTACAAAAGTAAGTAGTCGATTAAGATACATTGAAACGATATTTAAATTTGCCGTCGGCAACAAAGTTTATTTTTCCCGTTTATCAATGGTAACTTGAAGCAATTTTGAAGTATTACAATTTATTTTGCACTTGTAATTTGAAAATACTCTTCAACTTTAATTGCACTGTCAGCGATTCTTTGGTTTTTCCTAGAAGCAAATGATGAAAGTGTATTTGATTTCACATCAAAGCCATAAAATACGATTTTAATATTCTAGTCTGGCGAAATATTGAACTGTTTAGACCTTCATTAGGCAATTTATGAAGGCTGAATAAAATAAAGTTCTATAATGTTGACTAACACAAGAAATGAGGGATTAACGTTACACTTTGCTGTGCGGTTAGGAAACAAATCTTAAACATCTAGCAATAAAATAGGAAGCAATAGTGTTCAAGACTTATGACTTTGTCAAATATCTATATACATATATAGAGGATTCAAATAGCTGGTGAACCTACTACAATCACATTTAAAGCACCTCCACAAACTTTTAAATAACAAACTTTTGTAGGAATTCGAAAACTTCTTTTTTCGCTGGAAACTCATAAAAACATTGTTGATTTAATACTTACATATGTGCATAATCAGGAAAATGGCCTAAATGCAACGTAACTATTTCTGCCTGAAGAAAAACTATTAAATATTTTATCCGTTGACATATTTTATGAAAATAGAATGCTAGAATATGTGCTCTAAAAGTCGCGTAGTACACAGGATCAACTCGATCTGTCCGTATGTTTGTCCGCTAACTTAAAAACGCTGTTTCCAGAAATCCGACATTACGATATATTTGGGGAAACGGCCCATGTCAAATTTTTTAATTAAATCTGATTGCTAGAATGGGTGCTCTTTCACAGTACCAACTCGATTTGTCCGTATGTTTGTCCGCATTTTTTAAAATTTGCTACATACAGTTAGTTAACTGTGCATATGTATACCCAGCACCACTTCTGATGGTAAATTAATTCATGTGATCGAATCATATAACAATATCAGAGCAGAAATCTTACAATACATTGCTTTTCCACGATTAAAATCTCGCGCAAGCTTGTCCGCATGAGGACGACGATGGCAGTGAGGGTTTTATCAATTTCGTAGGCACATTTTTCGCTAGAGTTATTTTCAGTTTCGAAAAATTCCACGGGACACTGTGCGTTTTCTTGTTGCCATCTTCCATAGAAAGTTCGTGGATTCGGTTTGGTTCGCTTCGGCTTCCCTTGAAACCGACAAAAGCAGACGCAGACGGAAGAAGCGAAAAGCAAGCAGCACGGCGGCAACGTCAAAGCGACAGAAGCAGCAGCAAGTTGGAAAAAAAGGATTCTTCCCATCAGAAGTTGGTTCCTCATGGTTTTGCACAAGATAAAAATATTTTTTAATGTTCCCTGAACACAAACAAAAATTTAAGGAATGTCACGTTGTAGTGCCGTCTCGCTCCGATGTGCGCTCCATGTATGCATTGCGCATTTATTTTGGTTCCCGGTCCGTCGATTCTTCTCAGCCGTTGCCGTTCCTGTTGTATCTCGTATCTTCGTTGGTATGGCACAAAGAATTTCTTTTACACAGACAAATGGTTCGCTTACCGGGGACCAAAGATCTGCTTGAAACTCGCATTCGGGGTAAATAAAACCGATATATACATAGGTACATACATACATGTGTGTCCATACGGCGAACGGTGAATAACTGGCCAGAGTCATGTCGAGACTTGCAAGCTTTCGCCAATTTGTGGAATCCTTGCAAAGGATACAGAAGAGAAGTTCACAATCGACTGGCTTTTCATCTGACTTCTCTTGTTTTCTGCCTTAAATCATAACCCGCTTGAAAATGAACTGGGAATGAACAGAGAAACAAGTGGCATCTCTCAATGTGACCAAATTCTGTAAGGTTCATCCGAAATAGTCTGACATACTCCAAAATGTGTAAGCTCCACTGCTTTCTTTGAGAAACAAATTGAAATACCCGAATTTTGCGTGTGCTTGAAGATATTTTTCTTGGTGACGATTAAGATAGAAGACTTTATTTATATAATTCTGAAATGGAACGTTCTTAATTGCTCCCGTTTAGGAACTATTCTAAGCATGCCCATGCCCACTCCAGGTTCAAGAACATTAACGCAAATATTGTATTATAATTATATTGTAATTGGATTATTATCTAGAATAAGTCGAGTTAGGGATACAGCGTATAAATATGGAAAAGTTTGTGCATTTTTTAAATGACGTACAACCGAGTTATGTGGCATTTAACGCTTTGTATTGTATGCCAAAATGGAAAGGTAAATCGCGTACAATTGCAAAATGATCGTTTTGTCATGTCTGCGGAACGTGACACACGCTGTGTTCTAAAACTAAGCTGTATCGGAAGGCGGTTCAAGTTCGGCAATACGCCTACGGTATTTATGGTATATGTGGATTATACACCTATCAAAATGTATTATTGGAACTTAGGGGTGTTCATGCCTACACTTAAAAAAAGGAAACCCAGATCCGTGTCTGTTAAATGGTAAATACCAAATATGAAAGTCTCTGGTTTCTATAAGTCTAACTCAAGTTTTTCTATTAGGCTCTTTCAGTTTTTTTTCTGCTCGTCTGGCGTTTTTATTTTTTCACCTTTTCAGTCAATTTGCTGTTGCAAAGTATCAAGAAAACTGAGCTAATTGTATTTACCAGCTTTAAGCCTGTTTCAATGGAAACGGATTGTTCTTGAATGGGAGTATGGGTATTTGCGTGAAATATATATTTTGGTCGTATTTCCTTACATAAACTGTGTTGTTTATAATACTTCATTAGAAGTTTAGCATTTGGCCTGGCAGGTTTATGGTTTGTAATATCCCCTAAATTGAACGCATTTTCGAAAGAAATTGCACAAAAAATAAATTATTGATAGTTTTGCTAACGATCATGTTTAACTAATTAATGCAATATTTTCCTATTGTACTCAAACTAAATATCGGATTTACAGGTGTTCAGAATGTGATTTACTCCAGCAAGAGTTTAAACTTGCTTATGGAGGTAAAATATGACCACTTAAAAATGGAAACTGTGTGGATATTAAATGAAATTTCACATTCGATTTCCTAGTTTTCTATACGTTAAACATGGGATAAAGACAAATTGGTTAAATATGTGATTATGTGGTAGTTAAATCATCATAACCAATTCAAATCAGATAGTAATTCTTATCCGATAATTAGGGTGCGCTAATAGCAAATTGGTTTACTATAATGAAAGCGTTTACCTATGTATATTCCAAGCCTATGTCAGAGATATATGACACCCAAACGATTAATGCAATCATAGTGGAATTGGTTATCAAGCTCCTATGAATGTAGTAGGTTCTGGCGATTGATTCGAAAGCATTCAACCCATACGTTTTTTTTTCCACACGGAAATACACAAACAGTCATTGATTTGAAGCCGCCATAATGAACTACAACTTGGGCTACGATGTGACCGATCCCATCGCCCAAGTGCTCCGGACATCGTCTTTCATGCAGAACGGGCCAGTGAAGCAGGTTCGCGAACTGGAGGATCTGGACCGATGGGTTCGCTCGCAAGCCTACCACTACATCGTTTTGTATATCAGCAACACCAGTAGGGCTATCCAGGGCTTTCGATTGACGCAGGACTTTCCGGTGACGGAGCAGATGCGTAGATTGTGCTCGATCTTCAATGGGCTGGAGCAACTGGTCGTGGAGCATGCGCCGAAGCTGGAGGACTCCAATCTGGCGCTACCTTTTGGCCAGGTTAAAAGTAAGGCCTACCGCACTTGGATGCGCCAGATGTTCCAGCATGTGTTCAACAAACTGGACGATGCCATCAGTGTGAACTGCAAGCACGTCAACGAACTGGGTCAGTACCTTCGCCGATCCTTTGGGAATGTAAACACTCTGGATTTTGGTCCCGCCAACGAGTTGATGTTCCTCTTCTTCCTCTGCGGCCTGTTTCGCGCCGGTATCCTGCTGGCCAAGGATACGGTGGCCGCCGCCCTGCTGCTCTTCAATCGCTACATCCATTTGATACGGTGCCTGATCAGCACTTTTGGACTGTCCGTTGCCAAAGATCCGCGGTGCAGCATCGAAGAATATTACTTTTTGCCATATCTGTGGGGTGCAGCCCAGTTATCGCTGGATTCTCCCATCTCGCCGATACAGTGTGAGCAGGAGAAGATATTGGACAGCTATAGGCACGATTACATGATGCTGAAAATCATTGATAACCTGCAGAAGTCCCGAAACGATTCAATGAGTCAGTTGGCCCTACAGATGTGGAGCATCCTTGCGATGCCTACGTGGCCGCAGGTCTATAGAGGATTTGAGCGGATATATATCGACAATGTGCTCTCCTCATTCGGAACCGTGGAGAACGCCATCTTTTGCGAACTGATGTCCTTCGAATCGGTGGAAGCACCGATCCATCTGCATCGGGCACACTTGGGCGCTCACTTCGTGGATGCGAATGAGAATGAGGATGAGCTCGAGCGGAAACAAGCGGAAGATCCATGGAAGCTTTCGCCACCGGTCAGCAGATATGTCAGCATTGATCCGGATTCCTTTCTGGGCTTCCGGGGTTCCCAGACTCGGCACAAATCGGAGGACAGCGAAGAGGAACGCCTCTGGATGCTGCGACAGTTGGTCGATGAGAACGATCCAAACTCCGAAATGTTTTTCCCCAATCGCGAAGTTAAAGGACATGCTTCACTCAATTCGCTCGGCAACGAAGATTCCTAAAATGTCAATCCATTTAATATATGTGAACTTGTAAGGATGCAAACTGCATAACATTTTGATTTAATCTGAGTTGAAGCAGTTGTGGATATCCAAAACGATTTTTAGGATGTAGTATCTATTTTTATACCAAATTTTCTGGGTGCAATTAAAGCTATTATTTTTGCCAATCCTATTTCAGATTAGCGCTCGGCTAAAGAATGTACTTCTAAGATTTAAGTACTATTATTTCTGCATAAATAATTGACTTTCAGTTTGTTCTTAAACCTTTTTATATCGTTTTCGCACTGACTTTGAAAGCGATATCTTAAAAATCTCGTTGCTCTCTCTTAAGAGTCAGAACCAAATTGTGCCAAGCTTTCGCCAAAGAATCGTTTATATTATGTTAAAAATAGCCTTTTCCGCGTATTTTCAAAACACTAGGGATTTTTCAAGTGGCCCCCTAGGTAGTTTTCTTTACATTCTATATGATATATGATTTTAACTATTTTATCATGCGTAAAATGTGATTTATACAGTAAATGCTGTGTTTCGAAAGCAGAGTTTTCGAAAGTGCTTGCTGAAACGTATTTGCGTAATGACGAAGAAGCTTAACTCCTAAATCCCAAGCAGTCATCATAGCTCTTCTTCGCTTGGTCCTTCGCTCAGTCTGCTAGCTGGGGTCACAGATCCAAACCATCTGATAAAGGACCTGACTTCCGTTGCGAAATCGTGGCCAGAGTTATGGCACCCGAAAGCCAAAAGCTTGCAAAGTGATCGAAATCGAAATCGTGCGCTAAGGCGCCAGCGGCATGTAGTTCGTCGGATATTAGTCACACCCGTTGGGAGCGGAGAGCGGAGAGCGCAGAGCAATATACATGTGTATGTATTTTACACTGGGAGAGCGGCGCTCTGTCGCTCTCTTGCACTCTCGCGCTCTCACGCTTGTCTTCTAGCCCCACAATTCTGGGTGTGTGTGCGTGTGTGGGGCGCACTTGTGTCGGTGATACGGTGCTGTTTTCTGGGTTTTGATCGGGTTGTATTCTGCGCGCGCGTGTGTGTGTTTGTGTGTGCGTGTGTGTGTGTTATGGCCAGTGTAGTCATCGCTTGTGTTAGGAAACTGAAACTAAACAACCAGATCCACCAGTTATGCTGGCAGTCCTCCACATTGTTGTTGCTGCTCTTGCTGTATTTTGCAGAGAATGAGTTGAAGTTGAGTTAGCCAGCAAGCCAACGGCAACAGCAACAGCAACAACAGCAGCACGAATCCAGCCAAACAACAACAGCAACCAGACCAGACCAGACCGACCAGCCAACTACAGCCATATAGACTGCTATAGTGTGTTATCGACGCTGACGTCGGCGTCGTTCTTTGTATTGATTCGAATTTGGATTCAGTCGATGAGTTTCTCTCGCTTCTGCGCGTTGCGTTTTTCGCAGTGTTTCCGCGATTTTTCGTTGTCGTCATCGTTGTTTCGTTTGCCTCGTTGTTGTGTGTGGTGTATAGTGCGCCCCCCGTCGCCGTCGCCGCCACCACCGCCCCCCACTGTATTCAGCGCCCCCCTTTTTTTTTGCTTCGTACAGCCGTCAGCGGCTGTAAAAGTGTGCGTGGGTTTTTAAGATTATTAAAAGCGATTTTCATTTGCAATTTTGGATATTCTGCTGCCTCTTCTAGTTTTTTTTTTTAATTTTGTTCGGTTTTGTGTTTGTAATATCTGTATTGGAAAGATTTAAGGAAAATGTATCTTAAGATGTGGCCACTTTTTTGATTCACCTTCTCGCTTGCTCGCTCGCTTGCGCTCTCTTTTGCTCTCTCTGGTCTTTTTGTTTTATCTATTTCGTATATCTATCTTATAAACAGTAGGCGTGTGTAGGGAGGGCATCGCAAGATATGGATGTGTGTAGCTTTATAAGCAAAATATCCTATGCCTCTAGGTGGCACAAAAAAAAAAGATATACGAAAAAGAAATCAAAAAAAAATCATTTCATAAAAATACATATCTAAATACAGATGTACATGTGCATGCACACAAGTGCGTATGCTCTTGCACACCCATAAACACGGATACACACATGTGCACACACATGCATGCAATTAGAATTGCACTTGTGCAGAAAAACAGACTATTTGCTTAGGCCCCAAGCAGATGAGAAAATACACATGTACGGATACCATCGTCATCGTCATCGTCTTCTTCATCACCAGAATCATCAGAATCAGAATCGTCATCGCCTAGAAGCCCCATCTCAATTACGAGTGTCTCCATTAACTAACGAAGTGTAGGAAAAAGTCGAAACCAAACCTATCCCATCCAATACCAATAGTTGGCTCTCCGGTGGCCATTCTTCTTTCTTCATCTTATTGCCGCAGCTGCGCCTTATTTCCACTGAAAGGCTTACTGACACATTCTCACTTTCACAAAGACCACGATATTTTACAAAGCTGCTCATACTAAATACACAGTTATATATATACACGTATGTATATCGGGAGAGCGGAGAGAGCGAGAGAGAGCAAGAGAAGAGAGTGGGAGTGTTTGAGAAGATGCAGATGTGTGTGTATGTGTGTGTGTGTGTTGCCTGTTTAACTTTAACTGAAACTGAAAAAGATCTTTCTCACTTCCTCAACTCAACCTGAGAACTCCGATCCGATCCGATTCATGAATTATTGCAGATGTGAGTAAGTATTGCGAGTATGCATGTGTGTGCACGCGTAGAATCGAAAAGTAAAGTAGTGCAAAAACAAGTATCGAATGAGCCACATAATCCAAAGCGAAAGGGTTTCATTTGTTCGGTTTTCGTTTGAAAGTCCCCTCGCCCAAAGACGCTGCTATAACATCTACACATGTATAATAAAAATTAACAAACCGCTCCATCGTGTTATCAACGACATAGATAATAACACGCCCAGCACAGGCCAGAAAAGTTGAAAAAACTGTTACTATTACAAACGAATAATAATAACAAGAGTGAGTGCCTTTGACCAGCCGGAGACGACGACGTTTGATGTTGTTGGTGGAGACGGTGACATCAGAGTCTAAATCTAGCGCGAACAGATTTCTTTCTTTTAATTCCGTGAACTAGTGGACAACGCACCGCACTCGTTTCGTACTCGTACTCGAACACTCGCACCACTCCTGAGTAGCGAACTCTAAAGGAAATCTTCAAAAAAAAGCTGGCTGCATGAAAAACATCACCAGCTCGAGCACTTGCAGCACCGGGCTGCTGCAATTGCAGAACAACCTGAGCTGCAGCGAGTTGGAAGTTGCCGAGAAGACAGAACAACAGGCAGGTCCGTTGCCCATTCCCTTTCCAATCACCCAGTCATACAAAGACACACCTCGTATATTCAAACTCTATGCCCCCTACCACCAACCACCAACCAGCAACCACTAACCCCCCAACCACCAACACCACCCCCACCACCACCCAAAGTTTGTCGATCTCTGGTTTGTCTTTGGTGACTTTCCTCTTGGGTTCTCAATGCAAAGCACATGCATGGAGAGTTTCCATTTGAGAAAGTCACCCGAAAACGGAGACCTGAACTGCAGGGCACCTTCTCCTTCTCCATCGCTATAGCCATACTCTCCACCCATCTGCACATATCTCATACATATCTGACACACACACACACACACACACACACACTCACACATGCATGCATACGTGCATACATTCATAGCCAAATCTAAATCTGAATCTAAATCTAACCGTTCTAAATCCGAAAAGAGAGGGCAAGCCAACTTTCGATTGCCAAGATGAATAATTCAATGGATTAGTCAGGTTTAAGATAGCCCACGGGTTCTTATAAGATGGGGAGCTCGAAAATATTTTGCCAACCGAGCGGATTTCGAAAAGAGCCATTCTCGCATGTGTTGTTCATTTTGCACAGCATTGCATAATCATATTTTTGGCCAGAAGCTTGTAAATGCAGTGTGGGAGACAATTTGCAGCACAAAAAATTATATGCATATATGTACGGATTTTGTCGATCTGGATTTTGGCGAAATATGTTGACATGTCCACGCGATCTGCTGTTTTACGATTTATTTATTACCTCAGTTTAAGAGCCATCAACTTGTCTGCTGTTCACATATAGCTACACACAAAGAATAGATACATATGGTCGTATACTCTTATTTTTCTTACTTTACTTTACTTATAGTGGGCAACAATAAATTATCCAATAGGATATTCCTATTAGAAACATTGAAATTAATAGGAAAAATAAATCTGTATACTTGTGATATTATTGTGCTGACGATCGTTTCAAATATTTACAACTTTTCCAAGTTTCAGTATCAAGTCAAACAAAACTAATTCACAATAAGTATGTATTTAAGAATTTTATTTCTGAATCGCATGCTACACAATACATTTCTAAATGGGCTGTAAATATTGACAATAATATCGTAATACCTACACGTGCCTTATTCCAAATAACGCAACTAACGTAATTGATCAAAATTTAAGCCAGCTTGGAAAAGTCGAACACCGCATACTCTATGAGTTACAACCAAAATGTATTACTCACGTTGCTTTTTGACCAGTTGCTATCGCAGCTATGGGTTTCAGTAGGCTACGGAATGAGTATGTCATGAGTCATTGTTGAATTTAAAGATATTTTACGAAAACATATCCGATTATGATAAAGTTAATCATACTCACTCAAAAAACAACAAGCTCGAGTTACTAAGTTGACCGCTCGTTTTTATGACGGCTGTTTTACTTACTTAATACAAATTTTTTGTATATTCTGCATATCAACGCATGTACATATACATTTTAAAAACTAATAGCGATATTTGAAGCTAAGTAATTTTTGTTTGATGGAATTCTTTAAGCACTTGCCTAGGTTAAGTTAAGCCTACGTAAGTTCTCCAACAATAGTTGATCATATTTAATACACTCAAGAGCTTTATGAATTTATATAGTTTATTTGCTTAGACCATCTAAAAACCTCTGAAACTCTACTATAAATCGCGGAACTATTCCAGTTTTCACTATTTTCGAGCTGTCTGCTTATAAAAATTTGCTCTTAGAAATATATTTGGTAATTTCTATTTTCCTTTAAGCCCATGATTAACATTACTAACATCATTTTCATTAGAAGCCAAGGAGACAAAAGATTTATTATTAATTATTTCGTCGTTGCACCTCACAGAAATTCCATTTGAACCTTCACCAGGTTGCAAATTCGTTTGTGCTGACTTCTAAAGATTTTCGGCAGCAGAAGTGGAAATGCGTTTTAGGGGTTGAAATTATGAAAGGACAGGGCGCCGAACTTTATATACCCTAGGAATAATCAATGAATTAATAGGAAGTGATATAATGCGTGTACAGTATTATGCCTAAGTGACAATTCACAGTCAAAAATTAAAATTTTTAGATCGTTTCCAGTGACGATGATTATAGGGTTAGAAAGGCCATCTTCATTTCCTACGAACCTTTCGACTTGCACTAATTTGAGGACCTACAATATCATTTGTATACCATATGCACAAGTTATTGAACTCTATTATATGTAAAATCATTATCCCTTTGATATTATTCACATGAATGAAAAACGGGGAGAAGAAGCAAATCAAATATTGCGCTATTCCATAACTTTATAAAGCATTGCAATTTCCCTAAATTAGTTTGCAAGATATGAAAAAAAAAAAACATAATTTTCACCTGACTCGGAAATAATGAAAGTCAAACTGCCTTTAGCTGTGTAGGGATTGCGGATCCCAACTTTGATCCTGAGTGCGCTAAGTACGTCATCATCACGGAGCTCCTTACCATTCCATCCAGGCACATTCTTCGTGTATATATATACGGATATATGTACATTATGTATGTGTATGCGGCGGGGCATACATACATAAAGAAAATGAAAAAGCAGAATGCATACCATAAATTCCAATTGCCGCACAACAAAATTGCGGCTTCTAAGGGTAGGAATGGAAAAGGCAGGAAAAAGAACACACATTCCCTTATTAAAACCGAACAGAACAGAACCGAACAGAACGAGCAGCTGCGAGTTGAGTTTTCGAGGCGGAAATTGAGTTCAAGCGTACGAAAGTCTGTTTCTAGTTTTTCTAATTGGAAATTATCCCGAACTGAACCGCTTCTGTTTGAATTCAGAAATTCTGAAATGCCATGTGATAATATTAATGCACGGTTCAGCTATTTTGCCCGTTTCATTCCGCTCCTTTTCGTCCTTTCAAATCGTGTGTGTGTGTGTGTGTGTGTGTGTGTGCGCGTGTGCGTGTGCGTGGAGTGCTTACGAGATTATGAAAAATGGCACATTCACCCCCTAAAACGATCCCAACCCCTGCACTATGCCATGCATTTCCAAGCTGTGCAATATGCATTTTACTTTTTTGATAGCCATACAGCCGTTTCCGTTTCGGGAATTTCTGGCATTGTGCCTACCATAGATCGATCTGGCTTGACTTGCCCTGGATTCTGGTGAACTGCGTTCGCAGAGCTGCCTTACCACACCATTCCGTGTTAGACTATACCAACTTTATTAAACTGAACCGCGCTAAACCCAATATCTACTAACTATAGCAGATTAACGCATTCTATAGCGTACTATACCATACTGTACCATTCTTTACCTTACTATACCATTCTTTACTTTACTATACAGTACTATACCACTCTTCACCTTACTATACCATACTAAACTAACTATTTCAAACTATATACCTGACAACCTACAATACCTTATCATACCATATAGTACCGTTCTGCACTATCACATTCTATCGTACCATATTATACCATAGCATACCATGCTATACCACCGCACTATACCATGCTCTGTTCCTTGATAGTGGTGATTTGCCCCCTGTCTGAAGTTCCGTAGCACACCTTTACCTATGCTAGACCATACCATACCAAACCATACCATGCCATGCCATACCATATCATACCCCTGCGGACCCAGACTCACACTTGACGCCCCACACTGCAGGCTGGCTATTTGAAGGCTTCTACTTCCATTCTATTCTATCAATAGTACGCTGCGAGGGTATGTGCCACACTGCATTCTATCCGCTGTCTCACGAATACCTAGAGCAATAGAGCAACCATCCCTATAGGTTTAGGTTTATATGGGCGAAACACCAGGGGCAGAAAAGGAACCGGCCAAAACAAAGAATAGAAATATGTGGAAACTATACGGCACATTTCAGTTTCAGTTTGACGTGCGCGTTTCTCTTAACCAGACGCATTTTAGTTTTTGTTTCTTTGCCGCTGCCGTTTGGGATTGTTTTTTTCACGCTGTGTGGAAGCAAGTCGAACACAAAACAAAAATAAATTACAAAATAATTGAAATTATAATGATTCGATAGATATATGTATGTACACTCGTACATGTGCGGACTCAGTAGTGATATGTTTAACTGAAACGAATTCTTTCGTATTCGAAAAAGAGTCCATAAGAGTTTTTTGAATCTTATTTGGAGTATCATCAGCGATATCGGCTTTACAGTGGCGCCTTTCTCAAATCACTTAGATTCCCTCGAGGAATTCAAGGAGTTATCGGGTGAGTGAATTGGCATCTGAAGCTCAATTCAGTGGGATATATGTAGATCCTTTGGTTTCTAAAATCATTAAAAACCTAAATCTTGAAGTCGATTTGAATGGTTCCCTTGTGTTTCGTGTTCCGATACTGTAAAAGCGTTGAACATTTAATTAAAATGGACCAGGAAAAAGAGTCCCTCGACTATTAGAATACCAATTGCATTGCATTATGCTGGCGTAATTTTTATCAGCACAAAAAAGCATTCTCAATTGGAAAATCCTATTTTACGAATTGAAAAACATTTTGAATCCGGTAATAGTGATCAGAAATATATATTTTATGGAACCCTAAGCGTTCTCTTCTACCTGCTACAAGTTGTTCCGCAAACACAGCATACCCTCTAATACCCTATGCGAATACACCATCCCTTAGCTGCGCCAAATATTTTTCATCAAGTCCACCGTACACCGGGGATGTTCGAATCCAATCCGCACTGCTTAATGCCGTCCAACCCTTTCCAAATATTCACTACGAAAATGTAAACAATGGCGTGTTGAAACTATTTAAGTTTCTATTCATTTTACAAGAATTTTAATTTGCTTGTGGGCGCGTAGGCAATCGCCAAATGGGTTTCCTTTCCAATGGGCAAAGAAGTTGGGAAATCTCACTTTTATGTGTTTTATGAATAAAACCACTGGGATTTTCCTGCCAATGCGCCCAGATCAATGCACATAATACTTTTAAAGCAAAGGTTATTCATTTAACGATGGAGTATCGTGTAATCATCATTACTTTTGATTGGGTTGTTTGCTTTTCACCGTCAAATGTTTTAAAGGGATACGAAAATGGGGGTAGTTATTCAGTACTGGCACACTGAATGGTGAAAAATGTTCTTATAAGATGCAATTTGAATTTATGTATGTATTTTTGACAGATCGGAGATTCTGTTAAGATACTTCAGATAGTATTTCGAAGAACAAAGACTCTTTTTTAATTCGTATAAAGTCAGGAATATTAATAATTGATGCCATTCCCCACTTCTGTCATTTTCATACCTCACAAGTCAGTGATAATTTCGTACTTGGCATTTTCATTGTTAGTAACTCTTGTATCCAATTTCTTATATTGTTCACAGTTGGACCCGGCACCATACCATCACCGTGGACACCAGTGAATGCCGGTCCTCCAGGTGCACTTGGATCGGCAGACACAAATGGCAGCATGGTGGATAGCAAAAACCTGGATGTTGGTGATATGAGCGATGTAAGTTTGCTAGTTCCCTCGTAGAAATAAAGATAAATAAAACAAAATTCGGTTGATTCTGATTGAGAAATAAAGTTTGTTTGAACTTTAAACTTGAAGTACTTTGTAGTGTAAACAAAATGCAAAACGCTGTAAGCAAAAGCCTCTTAAAATGCCAAATCTATTCATCAGTGAACAAATTTCTTACACTTTCTCTAAATATTGCAGGACGAAAAGGATTTATCATCTGCTGATGCCGAAGGTGTATGGAGCCCAGATATCGAGCAGAGCTTTCAAGAGGCTTTATCTATATATCCGCCGTGCGGACGTAGAAAAATCATTTTATCCGACGAGGGTAAAATGTACGGTAAGTGCTAAGAATTCAAACTGCCATTAAGTCAATTGAAATTGAATGGGAGAACAAAAATAGTTGGAACCCCATGCTTTTAGCCCGAGTACTGATTCAAATTCGGATCGTATCGCAGCTAGAACCGATTGGGAATTACTTTGACATTATTTATGATAGTTTAGAAAAGCTTCCATCAACATAGATGCATCAATTTTATATAGCACTCCGATATGTATTAACTTTTGTTTTCTGCCTGAAAATGCAATTTATTTCATCTTGATTTGATCCTTTACAATGCAGGTCGCAACGAACTAATCGCACGATATATAAAACTGCGCACAGGCAAGACGAGAACCAGGAAACAAGTCAGTTCGCACATCCAAGTGCTAGCTCGGCGAAAACTGCGCGAGATCCAGGCGAAAATCAAAGTGGTAAGTGGCTTGTAGGGATTCTCTTACCGTGTAGTTGGATGGTAGGGCCCTAAGGTTAGATATCCCCAGAGAAAGCGAATACACAGCTAGACCCTTGGGTTGGATGAGCATGAAAAGCAAGGAAGACTTGTCAGTTGAGCTGCAAAGTGTCAGATGGAATCGTAGCCCCCATCCCATCTCGACATCCCCCTAAAATTGAATGCGAGCGTTAGGGAACCAAGTCGTTCAGTCGTTCAGATTGAAGAAGGGTCAACCGATTCAAACTTGGTTAATGCGATGATGTGATGCACACTTAGTGGCAATAAACAGCATGCAAATGTTGCAACAAACTGCACAGAGATCCAATCGCAATCACAAGCACAAGCAGACAGTAAACACCATATCGTATATGAACACCCTCCGACCAACTGAAACTCTTTTGCAGGAAACCAATGGTGTGTCGTTGCATTTATTAAATGAGAAAGAACAAACGTTGCAGGTCATGAGCACAATGACCAGTTCACAAATCGTGTCCGCCCAAGCGGCCAACAATCTGGCATTGGCTGCCTCGGCATTATCGGCAGCAGGTGGTGGTGGTGGCGTCCACCACACCACGAGGCATCTCAATCTCAGTCTCCCACCACCCCCCACCCACCATAGACACTCGTCGGCGGCGGCAGCGGCAGCAGCAGCTGCTGCAGCAGCAGCCGCAGCCGCAGCAGCAGCAGCAGCAATAGGCAGCAATGTCCCTTCAGCCGCGTTGGTCCCCGTACCGCCGGTTATGCCGTCTACCACGTCGTCGTCGTCGTCTTCTGCATCACCTCGACAGCAGCACCAGCAACAGATACAGCAACAGCACCACTACCACCACCCAGCCCACCATCACCACCACCACCACCATTCCCATCCCAATTTGACGCACCTACCGCATAGTCATATGCATCCACACCATCACCAGCATGCGGCAGCCGTTGCAGCGGTATACCATCTACAGCAGCAGCAACAGCAGCAGCAGCAGCAACTGCAGCAGCAGCAGCAGCAGCGGCCAAGCCATACGGACAACGATGCAGTGGCTCTGGGTACTGGCGGCCCAACTGAGGCGCCGCCGGCACCACCAGCGCCACCACCTCCTCCGCCGCCGCTGCACCACCCGCCGTTGTATTCTGGCGTAAGCTAACGTTAACGTTATTATAACCAACTCTCGATTTCCACCTCTCGATTTCCACCGCCCTGTGCAAATCACTCGTATGCTGTCATACCGCGATCCAAAACAAAAACCGAAAAACAGGCAGAAACTGAAACTGAAGCACACGCAACTCATTTACCAAGCTACTGCGCGCCTACTGTTGCATCAAAAAAAAAAAAAAAAAGAAAGAAAACTGCACAAGAGAATCATTGTACTCCACCGACCACCGAAAACCATCATAGCTGCCATAGTCCGCAATGCTCATTTAGGATTTGCAATTGTCTTGTCTAGCTTTCTGTTTTGTGTGTGTGCTCACCCCAAAAACATCAATGTGCCGAAGGAACCTCTGACCCATCTGACCCATCTTCTCCCGTCTCTACAGATTCGCAATTGCTCAAAGAAGTGTCTTAGAGTGTGCCGTTGGATGATATGTCATCATCTTTGGCGCGACAAGCTCCAGATCTAACGTACATCGCTTTTGGGAACCTCCTTCAAAGCGATGTTTAAGGTTTTAGAAGAAGGTGAAGAGCTCTTGCATCTTCAGAGGTTTGAAACCCTTTAAGAAGGTTTTCAACAGTGTGCTTTCGATAATTTGCCATCATCACTCGTAGACACCTCTTTGAATGTGATTTCGCGTCCTCGGAGGCTGTAAGGTGTCCGAAAGTATGCAGTGAAGAACATGGCATGGTCAAGATATTCTATAGCATACTTTCAGACAGTCTGTTGAAGGGATTTTCGAGCTATCGCACCCATGTATATAATCAATGTGCCGCTTTCGACGAGAAACTCCACTTTTCACCTCAGCCAACCCAGCACCCTCATGCCTCCTCCTATTTCATTTCCATCCAGCTATCCAGCTATCCAGCTATCAAGCTATCCAGCTAGTCATCGAGCCTCCAAGCCCACCACCCACCACCCACCACCCATCAGCCCCCCGAACATCAAAAACCCCATCATGGCCTAAATGAGATGCCCGTTGTACTGCTACGCCATCCCCAATGCGCTCGCTTGCTCATTTGAAATAGACTCCTTGCTTTTGACTTGCTACGCGAAGAAATGAGCTTCGCTCGAAAAGAACCTAATTCAAAGTTCGCTATAGACATGTGTGTACTATCGTATATAACATACTTGCTGGGTAACCTTAGTTAAGTGATACAGTCAGTGGGTTAGTGAACAGTTGATTAACAAGTCACCAAATCACCATATGTCTAACCACTCTTGTACATCATCTACTGACACCGATGGGTCTAAATTAAAGCTAGTCTAACCACTCGATCCGATCTATGAAACTGATACTGATTGCAAAATCGCACTTTTTCCATGATTATTTCGTTTTTGCCGCCGCAAACAGCAATTCTGGCAACCTGGACTACAGCCAAGCACGTCCCAAGAGTAAGTTGGCATCTCGTCGTCTACTTTATGAGCTAGCTATACTATACAACGCATTTGCATTGACCAATAGTTTCTATGATTACAGCATCAAGCCCTTCCCCCAGCCACCGTATCCAGCTGGCAAAACGTCGACTGCGGTTTCCGGCGACGAAACTGGAATTCCGCCCTCACAATTGCCCTGGGAAGGACGAGCCATTGCCACGCACAAATTCCGCCTACTCGAGTTTACGGCGTTCATGGAAATCCAGAGAGATGATATGGTACGTACGACCCCCAAAAAGCAGCCACACCACCAAGCTACCCAGCTGCCATCCCCTTTTGCTGAGCTGCACCATCAATCAAACGAAAATGTGTTATTAATAATTCCCCAACTTCAATTTTCAGTATAACCGGCATCTATTCGTTCAACTCGGCGGTAAGCCATCCTTTTCCGATCCATTGCTTGAGGTGAGTACTCCTGGAGGCAAATAAATGTAGCAGTGTGTTAACGTACTTTTGCACATTTCTTACCCATCCCAGACTGTTGATATTCGGCAAATATTCGACAAGTTCCCGGAGAAATCTGGGGGACTCAAAGATCTCTACGAAAAGGGTCCACAGAACGCGTTTTACCTAGTTAAATGCTGGGCGGACCTGAACACCGACCTAACAACCGGCAGCGAAACGGGTGATTTCTATGGCGTAACCAGCCAGTAAGTATTGAATATTCATCTCAAATCATACACGTATAGTGGGAAATGTGTATGCAGGTTAATAATAACGCATTTCATCCGCAGATACGAAAGCAACGAGAATGTCGTGCTCGTGTGCTCCACAATCGTTTGCTCTTTTGGCAAGCAGGTGGTGGAGAAGGTGGAAAGCGAGTACTCTCGACTGGAGAACAATCGCTACGTCTATCGCATCCAACGCTCCCCGATGTGCGAGTACATGATCAACTTTATTCAAAAGCTGAAGAACCTACCAGAGCGCTATATGATGAACAGTGTGCTGGAAAACTTTACAATACTGCAAGTAAGTGCGATCTTGGGCTCATCATATCATCATATGACACATTCATAATGCTGTGTATATTTTAGGTAATGAGGGCCCGCGAAACGCAGGAGACACTCTTGTGCATAGCCTATGTGTTTGAGGTGGCGGCCCAGAACAGCGGCACCACCCACCACATATACCGTCTAATTAAGGAATAGCAAAAGCTGCACGGAGCAGAGTCCAACCTGTCTGCGAATCCCATCATCAACACACAAGTTCACAAATATACCGACAACAGCAGCAGCAGCAACAATAATAGTATCAATATGGCTAAGAATTGCGATAATAAGACGAGTAATGAAATTTCCAACACAATATCCAACACCAAGAGTGCCAGAAGCAACATCATCAGCAATATCAGCAGCATCGACAGCAGCAACAGCAATACCATCGCACTAAAATGTGACGACAGCATTATTAAGAACAGGAACCCATCCGTTGCTGGTGCTACAATTATCAAGCAATCACTCACCTCACCGCAGCATCATACGGAAATCGATGCCTTGACCGCACTTCAAGTGGAGGAGGTTATTTATACACAGTCACAAGGCAATACCAGTTACCAATTAGACTCCGAATCAAGCATTGCTCCCAACGTACAAGAGCCAACACTCCAGCAGCAACATACCGCCTATGAGGACCGTATAGTAACAGTCCTTCCCCCGTATAATCTATGTATCGGCAACAAGCAACCACAACCATTCGAGGCTGAGGCTGAGGGACAGGAACAGGAACAGGAACAGGAACTGGAACTGGAACAGGAACAGCAGAAGCAACTGGGGAACACGAGCTATGAGCAGTTCCTGAAGTTGTCCGCTCATGAATATTCGGAACCTGACAGAAGCTCCGCGGCTGCTCTAAATCTCAGCAGTATTGGCGAAAAGGAAGCGGCATTGGTCGGTGAATCCAAGACGGATCTTGAAGATCCACCAGAGTTTCGGATGCTTCGAGAGGTCAGTGCGACCAAGGCGGAGGATCCTCGAGGACCCACTGCCGATGGAATCAGTAACAAAGGCCGTGAGCCGTGAGCGCCATATAATACCACCAGCCTTTAAGCAAGGTTGAGGCTAATTTTAAGGGTTAGAAATACGATTATAAGGAACGACACCATCAGAGCTTTTTGTTTTCCACCCAAAAGAGAATGAAAACCATGGCAGGTGACAACGGAAGAGCCTCAAAACAAGAGATGATTGATTGGTGTTCAGTATCGAAATCAGATTTTTATTTGTGCAAAATAAAAAGTGTATCATATTTTATGTTACAATCATTTGAAAGACTCAAACAACCGACTTTAGTTCAGCATAGAGTGCTTTCTGTAAAATTGTACTATACATACATAAAAAAAATACATTTAAATGATCTCAAAGTTACTTAAAACATATTTTTTGTGTATAATTTTTTTTATGAAAACTTTACAAAATCCTAAAAACGAAAAAAAACGAAAAATGAAGGAGGAGTCGTCCTGCGCTGATTTTAAAAAGTAGCAAACTAAGAGTATATATTGACTAATATGTTTGAAACAAAGAACGCCGCGAAAGAAACAGATACAATATAGTTTTCCGATTTACCATTAGATATGCATGGTCATGTGCAAGTAGGATTAAGCCATTTTTTTTATATAACAGCTTTTGCATAAGGCTACACAATGTATAGAAATAATATGTTAGTTATATTTTATTCAAGCTCTCAAGCTTAATCTTCATTTAGCAAGAGTGCTGAGCAGTCGAGGGTAGAGCCAAGTCAGCAGCAGCGGGTACGACAAGTTGACAACCATGCAGTTTAGATTGCTGGCTGGAGTGAATGCTGATATGGAGCTAGATAAGGTAACTTCGAGAACCTGATGAGGAGCCGAAAGTGAAATTCAAAATTTGTTTATTGAATTCGAAAACCTGTCATGGGAGCGCAAGAGGTGAGGAGGGAGCGTATGATCTTGTGTGTTACGCGATGGTTTTTGTCTATCCATTCGTATTGTAGTGGCAAAAATGGATATGTAAGTAATTGAATTAAGCATGTGTCGAATGATCCACCGTTAATTAAATTATTGATTACTGATTTAAATGCATTAGTATTAAAAATGCTTATATATATTATATTATGATATGAATACAACTGGTATGTAATTAGCCATTTCTGCATCCACCGAAGACAAGCTCGAACACATCAAATGTCCAAAATTGTAAGAAATTATACATAAATGCAGAAGAAATAACATACAGATTTATTTTCCGATCTAAATAAAAAGGTAAAGATAACTAAAATGTATTCTGAATGTAAAACAGCCTAATTAAAATTATCTAATTAGTAATAATATGATTACACATATATATTTACCAAATAATATAACATATTTATGCTCTAAAGTACATACGACTACAACAAATACGCATTTTTTGATTTTTTGTTCGTAGATAAGATAAGTTAATGTGAAAAGAATAACATGATTGCATACTAAAAAGTTCCACAACAATGACAGTTGAATTTTATTTCGAGAGATAAGAAAACCAGCAACAAAAATATTTTAAAGCTATAGACTTAAAAATATTATTATTAAAGATCACTAATGAATATGGTTGGCAAATATAGGTGGAGAGTAAATATAATAAATTCAAATTTAACCGAAAGTCTTTGATTTCAAAATTGTAGCTGCCGAATAAGTTCAATTAAACAATATAATTTGAATCAGAGATGTAATATTACAAAACAAATATCTTTCTTGTCATGGATACGAAATTCGAAGAATTCTGAAAAAGCAGCAAGAATTATTGGTTTTAATATTTTAACTTGGATTGCATTCTTGTATTTATGCCTACACATATACAATATTGTGCAGAAGAGGCAAAAATTGACACGTCATGAGGAAAAAATTCGCACCCTATAATTTACTTTTTGGAGATGGATCAATTTGTTTTCAGGAAAACTCGTTTATAACTGGAACAAAAGACAACTTACCGTGTTTACTTTCGTTATATTGGCCAACTCAAAAGCTTGATAATCCTGATACTGGAGCAATTCGAACGTTGATTGCAGTTAAGCAAAAAATCAGCTTAAACGATGAATCAATCAACTGCACACCCATCAATCGTGCTTGTGAGTCAAAATGTCCAGTTCTCACCATGTAGCATTTCACAAACAGCTTCAATTATGCGGAGAACAGGAGTTTATGCGTATACATATGCGGCTCTTTTAAACATTCAATAAGCTACATCTCAACAAGAACCGAAACTTTATCCGGTTCACAATATTGTAAATCTAAAACGATTAACGGTTTTACAATCACAAAAACCACCAATTGACAAAAAAAAAACCGTAAAACAAGTTTTTTTTAGTAAGACAAAGCGCTTTTAACGTTTTTTAAAAATGACAAACAGTAAATGGTCGAGATATTTTGTAAATTTCCTTCATTTAACTCCATGAAACTTTCGAGAAAATGATCTTCCCCTCATGCCCTATGCTTTTCAGTCCTAAAGCAAAATTCAATTTGGTTTTCGAGTTATCTTACTAAAACTAAAAGAAACCAACCTTTCGAAACCCTCAATACTTTAACCGACTGACAATAACATAGTTAATTATGATAAAAAGTAATATATTCTGTTATATTTGAATAAAGAGTGCTGTAATTATCAAAACATATAATCAATTTTTAACTGTCTACAACAAACCAAAAGTTTGATTGTTAATTGCATTGCTTTAATTTAATGATGTTCGAAGTTATATTACTGTGTTGTTGTTGTTGTTTCGTTTTGGTAATTTTTGGCGCACATGCAATTAATAGGTTATTTTTCTTATTTTATTGGTATTCCTTTAATGCTGATACATTTGTTTTTAATGTTGTTTTGATGCTTTCTTCATCGGGTGCAAATCCTACAAGTAGGGATAGCCCATGTTGCGTCCTGCTGCCGCTGTTACCGTTGCTGCACCGGGTGGATAATTCTGTGCATATTGTGGAGGTATTCCCATTGCTGGGCCAGCGGTGATCATCAGTTGGGGCTCCATCTGAATAATGTTTTTGTGCTCAGTTGAGTCGTCCTCCTTCTCGCGCTGAGCTTCGTTTAACTCCAGTTTGTCCACCTTTGTTGTGTATTCCCGCAGAACCTAGATAATATACACCAAATTAATATGGCATCAGTAGCTATGCAATGAAATGGATGTACCTGGATTAAATAGGGCATGGCAAAGTCCACGATTTTATGTTTCCAGGCCAACTCCAAAATGACATCAGGGCGCAGCAAGTCGTAGCACTGTAAATTCATACAGATATATTAATGAAAGAGCTCATCTTTCACATTTTTCGGACACTGCTGTGGCTTTAATTGAATTATCATTCATTATTCTTCGACCCACCTGATAAAGACAAGCTGCAAAACAATCGTAAGCGTCACGTTCTAGGAACCAACCCAACAACTCCTCGGCAATATCTTGCTTGCAAGATTCGGCGGCGTACTCCATAGCATCCTTGTAGAGTTTGTCCTTTTTGCAGAGCTCAACGCTCTGTTTCCAGCGGTTATTTCCTAGGATAATAATGAACATTTTTGTCAGTTTTTATTGTGCAAATATACACCAAATATGGTCAACTCACCCTTGTACAAGTAGGCGGCAATCCTACGGAATTCGGTAAGTTCGTGCTTTTCAAGTTTCTGTGCCAACGCAATGTTATCAAAGTTGTCAAATCCATCGATCGAGTTGCGCAGACCCTGGTAGTCCTCCTCGTCTATTAAGAGTCCGTTCAGGGCTTCGTTAATTGCCTTGTTATTGAGAGATTGGACTGAACGCAGATAAGGCTTGACGAGGGGCAAATAGCCGGTCTTGGAGAAGTAACTAACAGCACGAGTGTGATCCATTCTGGGTGCCAGCACGAGGAGCATATCGTTCAACAGCAGAGGCTTGAAGTCCAAATAGAATTCGATGGCCTTGTAGTACAACTCAATGTTGGCCACCTTGGTGATGATGTCCTTGAAGTGGCCCTCACGCCACGCCTCCGTGGGATGGGCCATCATGGCCAGGACAGCGTTGTCGTACTCCTCGTACTTGTCATACAGGAATACCAGCTCCGACCACAAGTGAGCCGATTCAGCGGCACGCAGAACTTTTGGAATGTTAACGCGAGACCAGAACAGCTCCAAGTGCTCTCGCATTTTGGAAGGTTTGAATTTTGAATAAAGTATAGCTAATTCG